GATGAACATGACTTTTATTATATTTTCTGAATGAATTCCACTTGTTTATATCTGGTTGTCGCTGATTATTATGTCAGAATCGTTTATCATTTATACCACCGCAGTTCTCACGATGCAAAAGTAAAAAAACTGGTATAAGTGACGATTTATTAGCTACAAAAAACACAATGACAACGACAACTCTAGTAGAAAATACACTCATTCATATATTGATTGTACACCCATTTTGAGTATTAATTAGGATGAAATCACATATATACTCAGGGTTATAATAAATCACATGTTCAATATAGTCTATGTTAATTGAATACAAGAATATAGTATGTTATACAGAATAAGATATCATACAAGAAAACAAACTAAATACTACATAGAGTATTCATTACATTGGATTAAGCATACGGAATTAATGTTGAACGAAAAATCATAATGAGTAAAAGAATGTATATTAGTTACTTATTGAATTCAAGAAGTGTATTCAATTCAGTAACTCGAGGCATAACAACTTTAACTGCTACTTTATGTAAAGTTTTGAATAAACATTTATGAGAAGTTCCACATTCTTATAATTTAATATAGTCAATCCTAATTAATTTACAATGGTTCATCAATTTATGTCAGTTTATGACGAAAATCAAGCAAGCGTTAATGAATCGATTGTGTTGTTATAATGAAACAAATTTATCACAGATTGAAATCATGTGTCAGTTGAAGCTAGACCACAATGGAAAACCTGGAAGCAATGGACGGCCGTTTCGTCCTAGTGTGGGACCCCGCATCCCTCGAGACTCGAACCCAGGACCTGTCAGTCTAGTGCCAGGCGCTTAAACAACTAGACTACTGTGCCGGCATCCGATGGTATAAATGTCTAACTTCAGCCAATCCAATTTATGTCTTTAAGAGAACTTACAAAACCAATTTATCAACATTTTCAAATAGGAAATTTCGAAATAATATCGAACTGACAAACCTCAATGCTTATTCTAACAATTGTAAAGTACATATTATCCCCTAGATAATTGTATATCTAAACAATTAGGAGGCTGATATTGTTTTAGGTGGAGTTTTGTTCTCCGAACTGGATGATTTAGTCTTGTAGCTTTCATTGTTCTTTTGAACAACATCATCAGCACAAACTTCAGGTAGAAGTGAAGTATTCAAATTTCTTCACATATAATTTACACCTTGTCCTATCGATCTCGGTCTTGACTGGTTATTGTTGACCTTTAACCTGTTATTGCCTGCTCCTTTATTTTCATTAAATCTCCCATTGATTTTGATACAACCGAAGTAAAGAAGTAAACAATGATAGGTTAAAGGTTATCAATAATTGATCAAGATCGAGATCGATAGCACAAGCAGTGAATCATATGTGAAGAAATTTGAATACTTCACTTCTACCTGAAGTTTGTGCTGATGATGTTGTTGAGAGAAATAATGAAAGCTCTAGGACTAAACCATCCATTTCAGAGAATAAAGCTCCACATAAATTATCAACCTAAGCTATAGATCTTCTTCATCAGGCTTATATGTGTATAAAAAAATTTGTATACCTTAACTAAGTGAATGTCTATTAAAAACATTTTCAGTATGGGAGTTGTGGAGATTGTTAAGTTTTTGGTTGAGATCATGGATCAATTGATGTTAGACCACCGTTGGAAACCTGGAAGCACGAAACGGCCGTCCAGTGCTTCCAGGTTTCCAACGGTGGTCTAACATCAATTGATTCATGATCTCAACTAAAAACATTTTGTTGATTAACTAACAAATATACATATTAATAATATCAGTACAATCCAAATTCAATTACATGAATCATTATCAACTAAATAAATGATCGACAAATGAATAATCTGACAAGATATACAACTGTCAGTAAAACAAGAAAAAGTAAATGAGTAGTGCCAAATTTTATCTACTCGTGATCAAATAATTTCATTGTATCTTCTTATGATAAAGTGTTAATTATAACAGAGTTAAGTAAGTTTTAATCTACAAACATCAATCAAAGTAATAGAATAGTTAATTTCTAAGTTCTATGAATAAATGTTATTATTTTTCAATAGTTGAGATCATGAGTCAATTGAAGTTAAACCATCATGTAAAATCTGAAAGCACTGGACAGACGTTTTGTCCTATTGTAGGACTCCTCAACAGTTTGCATCCATGATATCACCTTGCAATATTTCAACCAAAGACCTATCGGTCTCGAGCGCGAGCGCTTAAACTCTAGAACACAGCCTGCATCTAACGGTGTTAATCTCTAACTTCAACTAATCCAAGAAATTGAGCGACATATCGACCATTGTTCTCAGTAAGTTACTATCTCATAACAGACCTGGTTGAACTCCAATGATCACTGCTTCTCACTAGAACTCCAAGAAATACCTTTCGAAGCCAGTCATCAGTGAGTATATGCTGATTAGTATCAGAAGGGGTTTTTGTGGATATTATAGTAATTTCAATAGTTGAGACCATGAGCTAATTTAAGCTAGATCATCATGGAAAACCTGGAAACACTGGACGGGTAACTCGTCCTATTGTGGGACTCCTCAACAGTGTGCATCCACGATCCCGCCTCGTGGGATTCGAACCCATGACCTCTTGGTCTCGCGCATGAACGCTTAACCTCTAGATCACTGATTACGTTTCCAAAAATAAACCAGAATTACTTTTTAGGAAAATAAAACAGTTTTATGTTAATTGTTTTAATGAAGTGTACCGTAATATGGTACCAATTAATTATACAAATGAATACACTGCTAAAAAATCCCATCCTAGGACCAAAACGGCTTTTCAGTGCTTCCAGGTTTTCAATGGCGATCCAGTTTAAGTTGACTTATAAATTTAGCTATTAAAATTACTATAATCTTCACAAACCTCCATTCTGTTATAAACTGAAAATAGTAAAACTACTGTATAGTAACTAAAATAATTGGTCAATTTGTAGTTTTCAGCTTCAATAGATTCATATGCTTCGTATGTTTATTGCTAAAAGAAATCAAATGTCCAATGTCTCTCCTACTTTCCTGTTGATGATTCACCATGCGGTTGATTGATGATACGTTGACTTCAGAAAATTCATCAATGTCTATTATTCTAGGAATTAAACAGTTAGTGTAAAATGCCTGACTGTTAAAAGCTTCTAAAGTCGTTTCAAATAATAAAAAAATGGAAATGGAACGAATGTATAGTGATTGATATAGACCTAAGGTTGTCTTAGTCTTAGTTTGTTAATTTAGTGTATGAGTTCGTTATTTCATTAAACAACAAATCAGTGATCACTTATTTGTTCAGAGTAACTGCTGAACAGTTACCCCACACTAGTTGACATTAACTGTTTTGTACTATAAACAGTCATAATACATTTGATTGTAAAGAAATTTAATGTCTTTGTCAAATAACTATAGTGTGCTGTGTGAATCTAAACTTCAGTTATTTAAGTCAGTCTGTTGAACTTATTTATTTTCTCAACAACAATAATACGATGTTATTTATTACCTTAAGATATTGTTTGGGCCTTCAAATGCCCTGGTATGGTCGAGAGTTAGAAGAGTCAGCTCTCCCTTTCCAAATGCTCTAGCATGGTCACGTGCATATAACCACTGCCAGAGAAGTGCTAATCACTGGCTTCTTGCAACACGGGTGTGCTTTACGATATTTGAGAGGACGAAAAGCGAGTGTTCGGCGCTTTAACCAGATTTATGGATATAAAAGATCCGTCTAGCGGAGTTGGAAAATCCCGATTCCAAACCAATGGTGTACATGGACTCCAGAATTCTAAGGAAACAAATGGCGTCTGAACCAATTGTTGGTAACCGGCTACCATGATACTACATCTCCTTACGTTGCTCCACTGCCCTGTGGATTAGATCTGTAGATCAAAAGTTCGAGGTGTGACCCTAATTCTCACACAAATAGAATGATCTATGTGTCGTATATCTATTTGATGCCTCCTTGTACCAATGTTTATGTGTTTAAAAAAAGTAAAATTTAAGGCCGTACAGTGCTTCAAGGTCTAGCTTCAATTGACTCATGATCCTAAATATTAAAATTTAAGGATTTAATTCTCTTTGTCTTCTATGTAATATATTTTATTAACAATCTAACCGATCGGGGTCACCCACTCATATGCAAAACTACCCTGCATTCCAGTAGTAGGGTAGTTCGAAACAAGCTTTTGTTCACTTTTCGATTTGCACTTGAATGTATTCCACTCTCAAGCTTAAGTTATACCACATAAACCCTGAATGGTCAGTCAGCGGGAATACTTTTTTTGTAACCGATGCCCAAAATTTTAATGGTCATGTGATATACCGGGCAAAGGTCATAATAACTCAAAATCAGAGCTCAATATGAAAAGCTGTATTGAGTAGATGGATTATTTACCTAGCTCATGATTGGCTCACCAATCAAATGTTCATGTCAAGGTCAGGAATTACTAGATATTTTATTCAGTACATTACAACATAGTTTTTTTACACAATGTTGTCTCGTTCATTTGTCTAACTGAGTTGATCATGAATTGATCAGTCTCTCTATTAGTCTTTGTACATCCTGACCTGACGAATCTCAAACATACGTTTGAAACATACATTCTGAGTTTCATTTCTAATCATTATCCAATTTTAATGAAACATACAACCAGGTCTGTTGTGAGATAGTAACTCAATGATGACAATGGTGTACGGTGGCGCAACTTCATGGATTGGTTGGAGTTAGACATCAGTAACGTCGGATGCCGGCTCAGCGGTTTAGTTGGTTAAGAGCCTGGCGCGAAACTGATAAGTCGTGGGTTCGGATCTCGCGGAGTGCGGGATCGTGGATGCTCACTGCTGAGGAGTCCCACAATAAGACGAAACGGCCTTCCAGTGCTTCCAGGTTTTCCATGGTGGTCTAGCTTCAAGTGACTTATGATTTCAACCATTGAAATTTATATAAACAGTTTTCAAAGTTCTACTCTCTGTTATTCATGTTTCTTTTATTATTTATTTCATCAGGCTGTTCTACATAAAGATGTACTATGGTTTGATCAACATTCACCTGGTGATATTATAAATAATCTATCAGATAATTTAAATTCTATTGAATCTGGTATTGGTACAAGATTAAGTGATTTCAATCAAAATATCAGTGGATTTTTAGCTGGTATTATTATTGGTTTTATTGTGAAATGGAAATTAGCATTAGTTGCTTGTGCTACACTACCATTTGTAGTGATAGCTTTCTCTTTATTTGGTATTGCATTTAAATTATTTCATAATAAAGAAATTAATGCATATTCACGTGCATGTACAGTATCAAATGAAGTATTATCATCAATTAGAACTGTAGTTGCATTCGGTGGTGAAAAACGTGAATCATTAAGATATCAAAAAGAATTAACATCAGCTGAATTAATGGGTATTAAAAAAGCTACAGCATTTGGTGGTGGTAAGTGATATATACATATATTTGTGTAGTTTCATTTTGTTTCTGAGCACTATTATCTTCATGTATTACAGTATTCAAATAAAATGTTATAACTATGAATTGATCATAAAGAAGATTATCAGTATAGGGTTGTGGAGATTATTAAGTTTTTGATTAAGATCATGAAAAAAAAGATCATGCCCGACCGAAGCTGTTACCTTGACGCGGTGGTCGGGGTTGCCTTTCGTGATGACCCAACCGAGCTATATTGGCTGGAACATATGTCCCGGTAGGTTCTACCATGCCAGGCAGGTCGATTGGAGAACGGTAAGACTAAAGGCAGCAACTCAAGGTCTGAGGGCGAAGTCGTACTGCTGACTGTAGAGAGGTGTGACAACAGTAAGGTGTTTCCCTCGGACAACCAGCATCTGCAGCGATGCTGCCTTCCCACAAGGAAAGGTGGGGTGAGAAAAGGTCGACACTAAAAATGTCACAACTCACCTTACCTCACGGATTTCCGTCTCCGGCGGTAAGGCCCTTTGAAGAACGAAGCTAACACATTAAAAACCTTACACAAAAAGGCTGTGCGCTATCGGCCCCAAGCAGTTGTCCCTTGGGCTCTGCGGTCACGCTCTCAGGTCGTTAAGACCAACACTAATCCGACTTCTATTTCAGGTTCCTCAAGAAATACCCTTCCATGATGTGGGCAGCCAGGAAGTGATATAAGCCCTCATACCCGTAACAGCGCACGAGACCAGGTTGGTCACATTCAAATCTTTCCTTATTACCTCTCCCACTACAGGATTTGAATCGACCACTGCATCTGTGTGCTAATGTGGTGTGGCAACTCGAACTGACGTACGTACGTACGAAGTTCTACGTTGCTACTGACTGACTGATTAAGATCATGAACTGATTGATGCTAGATCACTATTGAAAACCTGGAAGCACTGGACGGCCAACTCGTCCTATTGTGGGACTCCGCAGCAATGCGCATCAGTTCATGATCTCAATCAAAAATAAAGAGGATTATTAGAAATATAGAGTTTTACAGTTACCATAGATATTATTCATTACAGCCTTTATTTATTATATTAACTTACGTAACAACTGAAACTGTTCAAAACAGAGGTAAACATTAGTAGCATAACAACCACAAACTTTACTCATTCGAAACTTATTACCACTGATAACTCAAATGTTTAATTTTTGAAGAATTTATAAAATTTTAATTATAAATTTGGCGCAACATCAAACGTTTGTAAAAACAAAATTCCATTTTCATGTGATAGGTTTTTAAAATAAGCGAATACGGCGTTAAAAATCTTTTAGAAGAAAAGGCACCAATTTTGTTTTGCTGTTAAAGCATAGTCATTAATCAATCGTATAGAGTCTGTTGTGACTCTATGTCCGGCTAGTTATCACCTGATTTATCCAACAATCAAAATACGACTTATACAATCTTCGCACTGTGCCAAACCAATGACGTTCGACCGGTATGAGCAGCCTAGCGTCCTTATTGATCCTATGTCCGCCTAGCCGGTCCACTTGAGTCCAGAACACCAATACCAGCTTTCACTATGCGAATCATATATTTCAAACGTACTGTGTTTATATATCAAACAAACAGACCTCAACGGACCAACAAACCCAAGATCCTGGGGCGAAGTCATACAGCTGACTGTACAGAGGTGTGGCGGCAGTAAGGTGTTACCTTCAGACAACCAGCATCTGCAGCGATGCTGCCTTCCCACAAGGAAAGGTGGGGTTAGAAAAGGTCGACGCTAAAAATGAACACCTCGCCTTATACTATGAATTTCCGTCTCCAGAGTTAAGGTCCCAATAAGTACGGAGCTAGCATGAAAACTGCTCACAAAAAGGTGGTATGTGACCGACCTCAAACAGTTGTCCATGGGGCACTTCGGTCACGCTCTCAGGTCACTAAGACCACCTCTAACCCGATTTCCTTTTCAAGTACCTCTAGAAGAATGTAATGCAATAAAAGTTTGTATACAAAAGCTGAAATTTTTGATATAATCATTGTAATAGAACCACAACAGTCAGAAAAGTACTTAATCTCAGTGTAGTTGGTTGTTTAATGTAATCTTCCTTTATTGGTTTAGATAAACGGTTCAATAATAACAGGATATCAATTTCACTTCGGTTACTTATTGTTTTTACGTTTTATAAACGGGAAATAGCATCTATATCATTTATTCTTCTTATCTATGAACATGATAGTTTGTATGCCAACTAAAGGCCACATTGAACAGTCTAACTACTATTTCTCATTAGGTTTTCTGAGCTTCTGAACTTTTTCAATGCAACACTAGGGATGTTGTGGTTTGATATTTACTTTTCCCTGATTCAACTATTTCTAATTAATAACAATAAAGAATAGATGGAATGTGACTGGCAGTGGAATTCCGGACACTTGTTTGAGATTCTTCAGCCGGATTTACCTGCATCTCAGAGTTGTGGTTCACTGAAAAACCTAATAAATAACATAATGCAGTTTGGAGCGAATGGTACTGGGTTCGAGTTCTGGAGTGAATATCAACTCTGCGATAAAGGTAAATCCAGTTGACAAGTTCTAAATCAGACTTAACGCGCGTCCTGGGTCCCACTGCTAATTACAATCCCTCGCTGTAGATAAACAACTAATTTTAATTTGTGTTGTACTAACACTTGGTTGGTCATCACATATTCAGATAAATTAACTGAGTAAAACAAATATACTTTCCAATTATTATATAGATGTAATTTGGTAATTTTCTCTTTAATCCCTCAATTTATATTTATTCATTCTGTTCTTATCTTTATTTATTGATTAGTTGGAGGGTGTATAGGACTTGTAATATTTTCATCAGCGGCTTCAGTGTTTTGGTTTGGTGTTAAATTAATTCGAGACGAAAATGCTGATCCTGGAGCTGTCATTGCAGTAAGTCTTGAACTCTTGCCTGAATTATTCATATCAATCGCTACCTTGATAGCTTAGCGGTAACTTCTTAGTCCATGTAGCTGAATGGTGCTCATTTGTAGTCCAAAGGGGAGTATCAGTTTCCTCAAGAATTCTGGTATCCCATGCTATAATGAGCGCCAGCTGACATAAAACCGAGATCAACAAGAGATTCCTCTCGACCACCTTCAACCACCAAATACGTCATTGATCAATTTCTTATGATTAAGTCATCTTTTGCTGTAACTTATTTGTGAGGTCAGTATAAATTCACAAATTGCATGTAAGATACAAATAAACAAAAAGTGTTATGTTTCTACCGCCAGGGTTTTATCTGAGCGTCCTCGTCTTGATGTCTGAGGGTGTCATCGCTGTTAATGTACATGCTAGGTCTGCAGTCGTAGACTACTTGGTTAGAGTCCGCGTGACTATCGTAACCAATGGTTGAAGACTCTTGGTGACATGGCTCAGAATCGATCACAATGGCGTAGGTGTATACACTCTCTGTCTTCCTTTAAACTATGAGATTAAAATCGCTTCATGTCTTTCGTTCTACGAACTAATTCTTCTTCCTGTACTGTATCCTTATATGCAATCTTCCTTTTATATATTGCCACCATTGAATTAACTAGTTCTATGAATTTGGTGTTCATCTTGTTGTGTTAATGAGGTATGGCAACTTGGACCGATGCATATATGTGCCTGGTCCTACGTTATAACTGAGTGACTGTCTGACTGATTGCAGTCGTACTGCTTATATTTGACAATTAGGAACCACTGTGATTTCTCCATCCTACCACTTATACTTTGGAACGGAAACCACTTCAATTCTCAAAACACCAAGTAAAAACACGAAAGACTTGTGAAGTGAGGATTTCTTTGACTCCTTGAAAAACGTCCTCAAACAAGTCCGAATATCATCCCGTTATTATACCAAAATAAAATCATTTATATAATAATTTTTACATAATAATATCACATCTAGGAAAAACTACGTTAGGTTACTGTAAAATCACACACCGAATATGGTTCACTGGAATTGATAAGGGGAATATAATCGTCAAAATGAACAAAGTTCTCACTTGTCACCCTGGCCGAAATTCACACTAAATTATTACAGAAAGTATTGATCTAAATCATGTCAACTTTCTATTACGTTATATCTATCTTTACCTATGATCCCGCATGGGACCGACGAAAAAATATGTTTATACTGAACTAACATTGATAAATGACCTAAGAAAATAATTTTCTCAAGTACTTCGTGATTGACTATTAGATAAGTACACTTCAGAACGTAAGCTTCTTTCGGTGAGACTATAATTTATGGACGGCCTTTAAGCAACTCTAAAGTGATTTTCAGAATATCCACCCAAATAAGGGTTACAAACCCGTGTGTGAATATGAGTTGGATGATTACATCTCATTAGCAATAACGAGTGGGTTGCTGTTAAATTATTTAATTTATTATCGGAATGAGGGTTTGTGGAGACTGTAGTATCGTAACAGTTGAATACATGAGTCGATCTAAGCTAGATCACTAATAAAACTTGGAAACACTAGACGGACGTTCCGTCCTAGAATGGAACTACTTAGCAGCGCTCATCCACGATTTCACACACGGGACTCGGACCCAGTACCTTAGGTCTCACTTGAGAACGCTTAACCTCTAGGTCATTGTTATGTTGGGAAATGTAACATAGATCTAGGTGGCTACAATTTATATTATTAATATTTCTACTCTAAATTTAATATATAACGTGAAATCACAGATTTTTCAATGATCTTAAACTGAATGGTAAGGATTTCATTTACAAGTACGATGAAACATCCTGGATTTCACCTATTTGACAACAATCCATAGATCATAACCACAATTCAACTGTTGTTTTCTTTGAATGTTTGTATTTCAAACCATTTCGTTATTACCAGTATGGGGTTGTGGAGACTGTTGTGTCTTAATTAAGATCATTAACCGATCAATGTTAGACCACCATTAAAAACCTGGAAGCATTGGACGGCTGTTCCGTCTTAGTATGTGACTCCACATCAGTGGTCATCTAGAGGTCAATATTCGCGTGTGAGACTAAAAGTCCTGGTTTCCAATCCCATGTGTGGGATGATGTATACGCACTGCTGATGAATTCTATACTAGGACGAGTTGGTCGTCCAGTGCTTTCAGGTTTTCAATGGTGATCTAGCTTAAAACAACTCCATTTAACTTGGTTATTTATTCTCTGAAGAAGTGACTTACATTCAGTCACATAACGTCAGAAAATTCAGTTTTTCTACTCATTGGGATATTACAAATATATCACTTTTACTTTAAGTCCACTTGGTCTTGTTTTAAATAAATCTTCCCATCGATGTTTAGCACTGCAATTGATCATCAGTCTCTTACTGACATATGTGCATACTGCTCATAGTGCCTCAATGTTGTCCTAATTCACAAGCATTATAGAGAAAGATGGATAGTAGTTAGTAGCGGAATCCAGTTTGATGAGCGCTTCGTCTAATTTGAGTCTCGTCAGCTGGATGTATCTGCATCTCAGAGTTGATGTTCAGTCCGAGATTCAAACGCAGTACCGTTCACTTCAAACGGGATTGCACTATCCACTTATCTACTGAGTCCTGATAGTCACTTACTTGTGTAATGGGGTGAAGTTTAAATTCGCATGGTATTGTTTTACAGGACGAGACCAAAGGTCATGGGTGCAAATCCCATATGAGAGATAATGCACACACACTGCTGAGATGTGTCATACTAGAACAACTTATTCGTTCAATGCTTCCATGTTTTCAGTAATGATCCAATGTTGATCAGTTCATAATCTCATTTCACTATTACATTGCATTTTATATAGTATTCAATCTTTTCTTCTTCTTCTTTTTCTTCTTCTTCTTCATGATCATATCGAAACGTGACTGACAATCTCTTTTTTTTTCTAGTTAAAATAAACATTTACAAGGTCAATCTACGTAACTAACTATTCTATTTTTTTCTTGTTTATTTAGTATGTTTTTGTTTGGCTTTCATCATTATAAACAATTCATAGTATGTAGACAATACAAACACTTCGACAACATTCTTTAATGTCTCTGTCCTGTTATCAAATTCAAATTATTTCTATACATTAATATAGTTATGTTACTGTACTTTGTATTTACAATGTTAATGAAACGAACGTGTGTAATATTTAAGAAAAAAATTCTTCTTATTTACAAACAAATACGGTACTGAAATACTTTACAAATACTTAAGGAATAAGTTAGTGAATAGTTGAAGTTAATATGTGGATGTATTCTCCATTGATATATGAAGAGATAAGTTAAAATCATAGTTGAAATATTATAACATTGAAAAACCCAGGTACATGTAATTGACTAGTTTGAAGTAGAATAAAATGGTAATTATTCAAATATTTACTCTTATTACGCCTGTTACTCTCAGTGGAGTATAGGCTGCTGACTAGAATTCTTCAGCACACTCTGTCTTGAAACTTCTTTTCTGGTTCTATCCGATTGTTGCTCATTCTTTTCATGTCTGCATGCATTTCTAAGCTTAATGTGTTGTTTGGTCTTCATGTCCTCTTTTGACCTTGAGGATTCCAAGTGAGGACTTGCCTTGTGACACAGTTGGGTGCTTTCCTCAATGTGTGTTCTATCCACTTCCAGCGTTTATTCCTCATTTCTTCCTTCTCTGCTATCTGATTTGTTCTCTCCCACAGTAAGTTGTCGCTGATTATAGCGACTCACGTGCAAATGGGTTCATTCTCATTTAACTCAGTTAAGCCCTTTTGCTAACTTATTTAGCGGACAAAGCCATCCGCACTATAACAATTTATTGTACCCTTATTATTATTTTGTGCTTGTATGAAATACGCATGCTTGAATATTGCTTACGGCCTACGCATTTATTCACTCTGCTAGTCTCACTACTAACCGCTTATTTGATTCGATTACTCATTAATTTCACATGCTATATATATGTCCATGTTATTCATATGGCTGACTCTGCTTTCTCGCTCGCTTGATTGTACTCGATTGCTTATATTCGCTCAGTCGCTCCCTTGCCTGTTTGCCGTTCGGCACAACTCTTAATGCTCGTTTAATGCATCTGTAATTTTGGACATCTGTGTGTGTGGTCTCGAAATAAACGTAATCAACGCTTCGTATTCGCCTTCTGAATAATATACCGTTGGGGTTAAATAGGACGGTTATCAGACGAATTGTATACGAAGTTTAAGGGATATATCGAATACGACCACCACAAGTGTTTGGCCAACGCATCCGATGTATTTCGCGTAGACAGTTGTTAATAAACACCTGGATGATGGCTCTCGTAATTCTCCAGGTTTCACCCCTTACAATCAAACTGTCATGACATTTGTATCGAAAATCCTGACCTTGGTGGTTGCTGACAGTTGTTTTGAGTTACAAATGTTCTTCAGTTGTAAATATGCTGCTCTTGCTTTACCGATCTGCGTCTTCACATCTGCATCAGATCCATAGTGTTCATTAATGATGCTATCCAGATATGTAGAGGATTTTACATCTTCCAAATCTTCTCCGTCAAGTGCGATTCGATTGTTGAATGCTGTGTTGTATCGGAGACTTTTGCTTTTCCCTCTATGTATGTTGAGATTTACTACTGCTGAGACTGCTGCTACACTGGTCGTCTTCTCCTGCATTTGTTGTTGCGTTTGAGATAAAAGAGCCAGATGATCTGCAAAGTCTAGATCATCCAGCTGCATCCTAGCTGTCCTTTATATCTCATGCACCAACCCCCAGATGTTGACGTTTTCCTAATACGGTCGGTCATCAGGAAAAAAAGAAAGGGTGAGAGAAGTAAACTTGCCCGGCACCGGTCTTTACTTCGAACGAGTCTCTGAGCTGTCGTCTATGCACGATTTTGCAGTTTAATCCATCATATTAATTCTGTATGATATCGACTTTCTTCTGAGGCATGGCGTAGTGTCAAAGAAGCTTCTATAGTGTTGTTCTGTCCACGCTATCAAATGTTCTCTCGTAGACAATGAAGTTGATTACCCTACAATGATCCGTAGAGTTGCGGTTTGGTCTGTACGCGATCGATCCTTACGGAATCCAGCCTGTTGGTCTCGAAGTTGGGTGTCCTCCATTCTGTTTAACAACATCCTGCTGAAATCTTTTCCTCGTATTTTGTTTTTCTCTTTCGTATAATATTTTTATTACTATTATTGTACTAAGTTTCTTTATTATGATTATTAATGTTATATGTATTTCTTCTAGGTTTTTATCAATATTCTTCTAGGAAGTATATTTCTAGGCAATGCATTACCAAATATTCCTTATATTCTAGGAGCTGTGACATCATCCAAAGACATATTTGCTACAATAAATCATGTGAGTTTTTGTTCGTTAACTTTATTATGTTTCGTCACTGTACCACAAAAAATTATTGATTGTTCATGCGGGGATGTGATGCGTGCTACTTATATTGATGTAAGTAGTATATGATGCGGGTTTAAAAATGTAATGTCTGGCAGCAAAGATGGGAAAAGATCAAGAAAGGAAGAGCGAAAACACAATGCAATTTGTAAGAAAATGCATGAACAATGAAATGTGAGACAATGAATTGATGGTTGCAACAGCAACAGTCCAGGTTGATATAATGGACTAATATTTTGCAAATTAATGATTTATTATATGGTTTTTCTATTTTGCCAGGTAACTCTGTAAGTTTAGTTTCCATTATATTCAATCGTCGTTACCCGTGTTCTGTTCACTACAGATATATTTCTTGGAATAAACAACGTTGATAAGCGCGCAGTTCTTTCTGATTGACATCAGCCGGATAGTCGCTATCTAAAATTGTAAACGTCCCATAAGGGAGCGGGAGGGGAATCCCGGAAATAATCTTCACAGTTCAGTTCCATACATTTTGTAGATTACTTTAAACGCCGAGCTTAATGGCATTTCATGCCTTTCATTTCTAAAACATCTTATTCTCACTTATTAGTTTTTTGTTCTTTCTTTTCACTAAAAATTTCCATACTGAAATGAAACAGCTATTCAGTTCACTTCAGGTCTCAATAATTGTCCATTTGATGTCATCCTGTAATATGAAACCATCTTTAAATGATATAACCTCCGTAAACCTCCAATCTTACTCATTTAAATGTTTTATAGTTTTTACCACCGAATGACTCTAGACTATTATGATTATTGTTATAAAGAGTTTTTAGAAATTTTTGAGCTCACTATCGACTAATTTCACAATGTAATTCCAACAGTTGTAACAAGAAATTATTACCAATAGAGTCAAATGTGAAACGATGACCCAGTATGTAACATTGCGAGATCGTTATATAATACCAAGAATTAATTAGAGTGACAAATGTACAACTTTTAGACGTCGACTTAATAGTTTAAAATCTTATGCCTTCTCTATGTGATATCCATATCCTGAATTCATTTTCCTGCAGGGTCCCAAACAAGGAACAAATGATTTTCTATGAAAATTTAACAGTCACCATAAACTCTTGATAAAAGTTTTACTCTATTTATTTTTCTTCTAATTTGTAAATGTAGGTTTCTGTAATAGAGAAAAATGATACAGGCAAAATTATTCCAGATTTTGATGGAAGTATTACATTTCGTTATGTGAACTTCAGTTATCCTTCACGTCCAGATATACCTGTAAGTAAATATTAATAATAATACTAATTTATCAAAAGGGGTTTTGTGAAAATTGGTTGAAGTTAGACATTAACACCGTTGGATGTTGGCCGGCTCAGTGATCTAATGTTTAAGCGCTCGCGCCCCAGACTGATAGGTCCTGGACTCGAATCTCGTGGGGGTTAGAATTGTGAATGCGCACTGCTGAGGAGTCCCATACTAGGATGAAACGGCCGTCCAGTGCTTCCAGGTTTCCATGGTGGTCTAGCTTCAATTGGCTCATGATTTCAACTATTGAAATAATAACTTATTCATTAAATGAATTAAATGTTTGTTCAATTATGTACTGGGTACCAACTCAACTATACAACATAATGTACACAAATAAACGACATTCTTTACTCTGAATATTAGATGTGCATATTTATCTAGAAACATCCTTTATGTTTACTTTCCACTAACCTTGATGTTATTATTCTATTTTGTTAATTTGCTATTACTTTGCTCATTTGAATTGTCACAACTAATAGCCCATGCACATTTATTCCCTAGACAAATATGGGTTATAATTTACTGACTTCATGTTAGTCTATTTACAAGAGTTCCTTTACAGTTTTATCTTCCATCATAGTATCCAATATATATCTTAATATTGTTGTTTATTTATTTATCTAAACACATAAATATTATTACAAGGGAGCACCAAATATATATGGGCTTCACTTCATCATTCGATTTGTACGAAGGCTGGAACACTGTCCCGCGTGCTCAAATCAAAGCTGGTGATTTTCTTAAGGAGCCACTTCTCGAACCTTTGACCTAAACGTCTAATCCACAAGGTAATGGAACAACGTTAGTAGATGTAGTTTTATAGTAACTGGTGGCTAACAAAAGATTTGTACGTCTTTTGTTCGCTCAGGATCCAAGAGTCCATGTGCACCATTGTTTTGAAATCAGGGATTTCTAACTGTCTTAAGTGGGTGTTCCGTATTCACCATTATCATTCTACAAATCTCCATTGTCTACTTGAATATTATTTCAAGACTAATGTGTATAATACTGTTATAACTTGTCGTTTGAATGCTTATTGTCTTGGCTCCTTTAAGGCTACTTTTTGTATCTGGTCTTCGCTGATTGTTATGTCGGAAACGCTTATCATTTATACTAGAAACGAGCGACATCTGCGATTCCCACGACGCGAAAGTAAGTACACAAAGACTGGTATAAGTGATGATTTATTAACCCCAAAACACGACGATGACGACGACGACTTTAGCAGAAAATACACTCATTTATATTTTGATTCATACACCCATTTTGATTAATAATTAGGATGAAATCACATACTGAGCATACTTCATGTCAATGGAATACAAGAATATCGTATATTATACAGAATAAAATATCATACGAGGAAAGAAAACCGAATACCACATTGATTAATCATTACATTGAATCAAAACGGAAGTAATCTTGAACAAAACTCACAATGAGTAAAATAAATCGAGAATGACTTTTCTTTCCATCATATCAAATACAAATTAATTTTGATTGAGATCATGAACTCATTGATCTTAGACCACCATTGAAAATCTGAATGCAATGGATGGCCAACTCGTCCTATTGTGGGACTCCTCAGAAGTGCGCATCCACGATCCCGCTAGCGTGATTCGAACCGAAGGCCTTCAGTCTCGCGCGTGAACACTTAACCTACTGGACCACTGAGCCGGCATCCAGTGGTGTTAATGTCTAACCCCAACCAATCCACGAAGTTGCGCAACCACCTTCCATTGTACTGAGGTAGACACTGAAGGCCTTCGATTCGATTCCGGCGAGCTTGATCGTGGATGCGCACTGCAGAGGAGTCCCACAATAGGACGAAACGGCCGTCCAGTGCTTCCAGGTTTTCAGTGGTGGTCTAACATCAGTCGGTTCATGATCTTAATCAAAACTTAACAGTTTCTACAACTACTATATTGACAAATTAATTTCTACTTACACATACAATCATATGATACCTTTTTAAAAGAAATACAATTTTCAAAAAGAAAATTCTGATAGACGTCATTTATTTGGATAAACAATTTTCTCCTAAAGATGAAGTTTATTAAGATTATTTTGTTGCAAATCGATTGTCACATACTGATCAATGTAATATCTTCTCTGATCTTTAATATTATATCGTTAACAAATTTCTCCATAGCTTGATAGCTTCAGGACACAGCATTTTGTAGCTTTTGTTTTGACATACATTGATCAATTATATCAGTCATAGCCATCCAGACAAGCTATATTAGCTTGAATGTTCTAGCATGATAGCCACGTAGACTGAAGAATGATAAGACAATTATTAGCAGGTTTAATGTCCAAAATGTTAGTCGTACAGATAAATTTAATGAGAACGATGAATAGTTAAATTAAATTGTGTTTGAGATCATCAACTCATTGATGTTAGACCACCATTGAAAACCTCGAAGCAATGGACGGTCAATTCGTCGTATTGTGGGACTCTTCAGAAGTGTGTATCCACAATCAAGCTCGCCGGAATTGAACAGAAGGCCTTCAGTCTCTTCCACTGTACTTAGATACCTGTCTCTGCCCGACACGGAAAACCGTGGACATTGACATTGACCACGCGAGACCAATGGTACTGGATTCGAATCCCGCGAACGGGATCATGGATGCGCACTGCTGAGGAGTCCCACAATAAGACGAATCGGCCATCGAATTTTTCCAGGTTTTCAATGGTGGTCTGACATCAATCAGTTCACGATCGCAATCAAAAACTTAATAATCTCCACAACCCCTATACTACACATCCTTGTATTTTAAAAAAAGTATTAAGAATGATACAAAGATACGTAAATGATCATTAAAGAATTCTTGAAAATCCATGAAGCTTAGTTAGATCAAATCATCCAATAGTTAAAATAACTACTGACTCATTGGACATGAAATCGGTCAAGGTAAATGAAGTGTCTAGACATATCTCTATTGTATGTAGAGGTTGTCTACACGGTTCAAAATAGCTAATTTTTTCTGCCGTTTCAAAGATTATAATTCTGAAAGATTTTGGCATTTAGTTACAAAACCAATGAGTTATTGTAATTGACTGTATCATACTAGCTTTCGTCTTAACTTCTGACGTAATCCAGAATTCTCCGATGTTTTCTTGAACTTTCTGTTTATTTATAAATAACTTTAATAGTTGAGACTGTGAGTCAGTCGAAGGTAGACCACCATGGAAAACCTGAAAGCACTAGATGGCAGTTTCGTATTATTGTGGGACTCCTCAGTGATGCGCATCTACGATTCCGCCTCGCGAGATTCGAACCCAGGACAAATGCTCACTAGTGACTGGCTTCAAGATGGATTTCCTGGAGTTCTAGTGAGAAGTAGTGATCAGTGGAGTTCAACCAGGTCTGTTGTGAGATAGTAACTCACTAAAGACAATGGTGGATGCCGGCCAGCTCAGTGGTCTAGGTGTTGAGCGTTCGCGCGCGAGACCGAGAGGTCATGGGTTCAAATCTTGTGAGGAGGGATCGTGGATGCACAATGTTGAGGAGTCCGACAATCGGACGAGTTGATCGTCCAATGCTTCCAGGTTTTCTATGATGGTCTAACTTCAATTGACTCACGATCTCAACTATTCAAATTTCTATAATATCCACAAAACCCCTTTTGATACTTATAAATACTTTATCAGTAAACGTTATTTTCAATATCACAATCTTCTCTTTCAACTACTGTCCTCTGGTGAGCAATTCATTGCTTGATTTACAAGTAGCTGAAGTGAAAGCAGAAAAATACATCAGGAATTCATCAATTTAAGTCCTAAAACATCAATGGGAAGATTCAAGTAAAACAATATCAAGTGAACTTAATTTCACCCCATTGCACAAGCAAGTGGCTATCAGGACTCAGTAGCTGAATGGATAATGCTATGGGTTTGAAGCGAATGGCACTGGGTTCGAGTCCCAGAGTGAACATCAACTCTGAGGTGCAGGTACATCCAGCTGACGAGACCCAAACAGAACGAAACGCGCGTCAAACTGGATTCCACTGCTAGCTACTATCCATCTTTGCTTGGAATTCATCGTAGTTGGTATATATTGTTGTTTAAATTAGTACAAGGAAGAAACAACATGATCATCTACTGCATATTTTAAATCCGTGTATACGATAAAATTTATCGTAAAATGAGTAAATTCAGACAATCTGCACAGGGTACACATTCACCCATGAAGACCGACCAAAGTCCATTCAGGGTTTTCCGAAAACAGATAATTCGAATCCATAATATTGATGATATAGACATCATAACTGTTAGAAATGTTCGTGACTATCTGGATTGAGTAGCTCAGTGGATAACATACCGAATATGTGTCGCATAGAGCGCTTGTTTCGAGCCCCGATGTAAGGTTTGACAATCGGATCCAGGTCTATCCAGCTACTTAATCTGAAGTAAGGAAAAATGCGTGTTCTGGATCATGGCATAAGCCACAATGTATTAATTCTATGTATCATGTAACAATAGTTTGTTAAATAAACTGACTTTTCAGTCATACATTATTGAGATCGTTATTCAAATAACAGTTCTTGTTCTATAGTCGTGAAAAAAACTTACAGATAAGGCTTGGTAATTAAAGCGATCATCAAAGAAACAAATGAGCTCATTGTTCTTATGTAGAGAATTCTCTCTCCCCTTCGGTTATTTATTAAGGTACCATCGATACATACCCATATAGATTGTCCATAGAAAAGAGTTTGATTACTTATTAAAATCACTTGAAGATATTTCATTACTGACATTCAGAACTTTATTTTGACCAGTCTTAGTTGACTCAGTAAATTAACATGCTGAAGAGTAAATTAGGAAAAGACGATGGAAATGGATAGAACATACATTAAGGAAATCACCAAATTGCATCACAAGGCAAGCCCTAACTTGGAATCCTGAAGAGAAGCGGAAACGTGGAAGGCCAATGAACACATTACGTCGTGAAATAGAATTAGATATGAAAAGGATGAATAACAACTGGAAAGAGTTGGAATAGATTGCCCAGGACAGGGTAAGATGGAGAGTGTTGGTGAGCGACCCAAGCTCCTCCACAAGGAGTAACAGGCGTAAGTAAGTAAGAGTTTGAGGCAAAAACTGCTGAATTCAGAGTCTCAGTATGAACATTACCACTGGAACAAGTAGGTACATCCTGCTAACGAGACCCTGAAACGAAAAAATGCTCATCATATATTCCACCGCTAGCTATAATTTATCTTTTCAATTGAATGTTTTTTATTTGGCTAATATATATTTATTTCTTCTTTCCATAATTTAGATTCTTGTCAATTTTTGTCTTACTGTTAAAAGTGGTCAGACAATTGCACTAGTCGGTTCTAGTGGTTCTGGTAAAAGCACTCTGATTCATATGCTTCAGCGTTTCTACGATCCTACACAAGGTGAAGTAAGTAGTATTTTACCCATTATGTTAAAACTCTTTCTTTAGTCAAAAGTTTTAATAACGCAAATGGGTTAAAATCCATTTGTTGTTTGATAAATAGAAAGAGAAGTGAAATAATAGTTTGGTGTTTAATTAACTGATTGAAATTGAATAAAACCTGATCGAATCAAGTACTAGTTTAGTTGGCCACAATTTCATACACTGCACCATTATAAACTAAATACACCCATTGTATAAACAAAGAACAGTACGGAGAAAATAAAGGGTTAGTAATCTTATATCCCAAGGCTTTTAATCTCCCAGTTGTTAATGCTAAGAAGTCAAATGATCAGTAAGTTTTTAGCACATCAATAACCCTAGAGCATTACTTTGAAATGAAGTTGGGTAGTGGATATAAGTGAAGTCAAGTACTGACATTTGTCCTATTTGATACTTGTTAACTGGATGTACTTGCATCCCAGTGTTTTTGATGTTCACACTAAGAATGACAAATTATCAAAACATCTCAAGTATCATCACTGGACTTTTAAAACACTTAAGAAAAGATCTCCTTAATCTGAGAGAAGCTAAGACAAACGAAATCAAAATACTTATAAAATAAGTTACAACTGTTCCACGAAATATAACGTTTTTCATCATCTCCATGAAGACTAATTAATTGTCTAGTACCGCAATATTCTCTTTGCTCAGTTCAGTGCATGTAGATGATTATGTACAAGAGTTGGTTTTGTGGTAATACCGATTTCTTACTTAGAGTCAACACAAAATGGTCAAGAGATTCCTAAAAGTCATCTATTTAAGTCATTTTCCAATAAATGCAATATATTCAGTCTCTCAACCAATTAACCGAATGATAACAGATTACAAAGCTAAAAATCTGATCATTAAAAAAGGTCAGCGAACTATTTTTATAGAAAGAGTGACAGATTAATCATCGGTAGCAAACATCACTTAATAACGAAAATTCTAACTACATCTATTAGAATTTTGTCCTAACGAGCCTATTGTGATGTGCGCTGTGCGAAATCTGATAATGACACATGGTATGCTATGCACTTACCCTAAGTTGACTACTTGAACGAGAATACAGAGATCGTACTCAGAATTTTCAGGTCTCATGGTAAACGTCTAAGCATCAAAGCCATGGAATCGTTGTTCAATGGCATAATTTATACTTTCAAAAAATTACAATACAGCCTTAATATTACTTAATAAGTTAACAGATTTTCAATATTAGCTACTTTGTGTTTTTTTCTCTTATATATTACCACTACTGAATTAACTGCTTTTATGAATCCGGTGTTCATCTTGTTGTGTTAATGACGTATGGCTACTTGGACTGATGCATATATGTGCCTGGTCCTACATTGTAGCTGACTGACTGTCTTGTGATGGAGTTTTGTTCTGTGAGCTAGGTGGTTTGGCCTTGGAGCTTTCATCGTTCCTCTGAACGACATCATCAGCACAAACTTCAGATGGAAATGAAGCGTTCGAATTTCTCCACATGTGGTTTACAGCTTGTCCTGTAGACCTTGATGTTGATTGGTCCTTATTGACTTTAAACCTGTCATTGTTTACTTCGTTCAGAAGAACGATGAGAGCTACACAACCAAACCAACCAGCTCAGAAAACAAAAATCATCCACCTGAGCTACAAATCTTCTCCACCATCTCAAAACTAACTTGAGTTTTCTTTTTATTCTACTTATTATTTATATTTCATTTTAGATTCTAATACAAGGCGTTGATTTACGTGAATTAAATATTCACAATTATAGAAATCAAATAGGATGCGTACAACAAGAACCTGTATTATTTGATGGTACAATACGTGAAAATATTAGACTAGGTAAACTTAATGCTACTGATGAAGAAATTTATGAGGCTGCTATCAAAGCTAATGCACATCAATTTATAATACGTTTACCACAAGTTAGTTGTATTTTATATTGTTGTTAACTAATAATCTACTGATTGGTTATATAATGCTTTTTCATCTTAAATAACCAGTAAATGCCGCCAAGCACTTAGCAGTGCGCGTCCATGACCCCGCCTCCCGGGGTTCGAACCCAGGACCTACCAGTCTCGCTCGTGAGCGCTTAGTCACTAGACCGCTCAGCCGGCATCCAACAGTGATCTCAACTATTGAAATTATTACAATCTCTACAAAACCTCTTCTTATACATACAACATTGTTTTGTATTCTAAGGTGATCTGATGTAGTCTGTAAAGAAGCTTTACTTAATAAATTTCGTTCTTTTACAAAGTGTAAAAGTAATCTTCAGGGAGCTAATGTTTCTGTACGATTTGAACTAGCATCACCTAGTTTCGCAATCTGAGAAGTTACCATTAAACTATTCATACAACAATTAACCTGCTCATTTGTATCTAACCGTTTAATAAGTTACTGCATTAAGGTTATTTTCCGTCTTCCCTTGTACAAGTACCTCTAGTTTCATTAAGTAGCTCAAAAAACAAAGTTGTATTCCATTAAATATCATCATTTGAATATACGGAGTTTCATTCGTGCTACTAAAATTTAGATATATAAACTGATAGATACTAATTGGAAAACTAATTAAAACCGTTAGTTTACACTTGTTTACAACTAAAATTAACCAATCCATTAGATAGAAATGACTATAACCAATGATATTTTAGTGCCCATCCTACTCCCGTATAATTAAACGATATATGATATTATTGAAAGATATGACATACTTATCATATATTCCGTTGACTAATAACATTAATTTCAATGGTTAAGATCATGAGTCAGTTGAAGCTAGACCACCATGGAAAACCTGGGAACACTGGACGGCCGTTTCGTCCTAGTATGGGACCCCTCAGCAGTGCGCATCCACGATCCCGCGCCACGCGGGGCTCAAACCCAGGACCTGCTGGTTTCGCGCCGGAGCACTTAACCACTAGACCACTGAGGCAGCATCCGACGGTGTTAATGTCTAACTTCAACTAATCCACGAAATTGAGCGACACATTCACCATTGTCTTCAGTGAGTTACTATCTCACAACAGACCTGGTTGAACTCCACTGGTCACTACTTCTCACTAGAACTCCAGGATATACCTCGTGAAGCCAGTCACTAGTGAGCATATGTTGATTAATATCAGATGGGTTTTTTTGGGGAGATTGTAGTAATTTCAATGGTTAAGATCGTGGATGCGCACTGCTGAGGAGTCCCATACCAGGACGAAACGGCCGTCCAGTGTTTCCAGGTTTTCCATGGTGGTCTAGCTTCAACTGACTCATGATCTTAACCATTGAAATTACTACAATCTCCCAAAAAAACCCATCTGATATTAATAACATTAATACAAAGTATTAATGAAAAGTCGAATATGAATAATGATTCAGGCATGTATATTCCAAATATTGATTTATCCAGACAGACCTTAAGAAATACATCGTGGATAAAGACTATCCAGTCTACTCATCAGAGTATTATTCATCACAAATGTCAGTATAACTCCAAAAAGCCATGCATGGTACTATCATGGAGATAGTCATTGCATACAACGATAAGCCTACAAACACACACGAGCATACGTAAGACAGAAAGGTGTAGAATAAAAAAGGGATATTTTTTGAAGGTTATAAGTACTGATGACGAAAAAAGAGGTATTGGGAAGTTGTAAAAGTCTGTCCAGAAGCTGGAATAAATCACGTACGCGTGTCATAGTAAAGAACTTTCTACTACATTATGGGAAATTTCATTTTATCATTTGATCTGTTGGTTTGGAATCAGGATTTTCCATCTGTGCAAGATGGACACTCTCTGTTACTGCTTATACAAATCTGGAATCTCGCTGTGCGGATGTGGTGTGGTGACGTGAACCGATGCACATATGTGACAGGTTCTATGTGTGCATATGACTGACTAACAGACCATAAAAAACTTATCTTCAAAAAATTATGTGAAATTATAACCATATGTTAAATCAGTTTGATCAGCATGCGTTAGATTCAGTGAAATGGTTCAGGAGCTCTGATTATCATCATGAGTTTCAACCGGTTTTGCCTTACTTTGGTACAAAGAGGCATCAAATAGATATGCCCCATATAAATCATTCGATTTGTGTGAGGGCTAAGAGACTGCTTGTATGCCGAAACCGAAGCAGGTGGTTTTCTTAGTGGGCCACACCCTGAGCATTCGACCTAAAAGTCTAATCCCCAAGACAGAAGAGCAACGGTAAGAGATGCAGTGCCATGATAGCCGGTCACGAACGATTGGTTCATACGCCATTTGTTCCTTTAGGATACTGGAAATGTCCTGACTTTACTCTTCGATACATTTTAATCTTTATTATCTAACAGAATTCATCAAAGCAACCTACTTGAATATCTGAGCTACCTGTTCCCACCATATGCACATTTCAGCAAGTTACCTGTTTCCTTGTTTTCTTTCGCACATCATTTTGTCGCATAACCCATTCAGGTGGGTCTGTGAAACATTCAAAAAACATTTCGCTATACAAGTTACAAAACAGTCGAATCAGAGAAATCTTGGTTGCTGACAATATTCATCGAAAATAATATACATTAATCAGATGTCGATTCCTGAACTGCTAATGTAGTTTCTCAAATTGTCTCAAATTTCATTGTTCATGAACTTTCATACCCAACTGAGTTCCATTTCTATTCTTTGTTTATTGATCTTCTGTTGAAATACATTCTATGCCTGATCATTGTTATATACTACTACTTATATAGATATAAGTAACCCACCCCACAAAATTAGTGAAGTTACCCCAAGATTCTTGAGTTTTTCTTCTAGGTGAAGTAAGAAAACATTGAATATTTGTATTGTAATATTGTAAATTGATCATAGTTTCATAATTAAACTATTTCAAATCCGTTATTACACTTCAAAGTACAAAATATCACATGAAACATTGTTGAGGATGTGTGTGATTTTGTATAACTTCGAAAGAAATAAAAATGAATGAAACAGCTATGTTTTTTTCTCTAAATTTTTTAATCGTTCTTAAATCATGGACCGATGGAAGTTAGACACTAACATCGTTGGATTCCGGCCCAGTGTTCCAGAAATTAGAAGTTCGAGCGCGAGACCGAAGGTCCTGGATACGAATCCTGCGTTCGAGATCGTGAACGCGCACTACTGAGGGGTCACATACTATAACGAGTTGGTCGTCCTATGCTTCAAGGTTCTCAGTGGTGTTCTAACATTTATCCATTTATATTCTCAATCGAAACACATTATTTTAAAGTTGTCTCAAAATTAAATTTGTACTCAAATTCTCAACAACAACAAAAAAAATTGTTTATCGAAATGATAAACTCTATGATTCAAGTCTTCAATTATTATAAACAGAAAAAAATTTGACTCATGATCTCATCTATTGAAATTACTATAATATCCACAAAAACTCTTCTGATACTCATTATTATATGTTCACTAGTGACTGGCTTCAAGTGGTATTTCCTGGAATTCTAGTGAGAAGCAGTGATCAGTGTAGTTCGAACGGGTCTGTTGTAAGATAATAACACACTGAAGATAACAGTCGATTTGTCGCTGAATTTCATGGATTAGTTGAAGTTAGACATTAACACTGTTAGATGCCGACTGGCTCAGTGGTCTATAGGTTAAGTGTGAGACCGATAGGTCATGGATTCAAATCTCACGAGGTGAGATCGCGGATGTACACTTCTGAGGAGTCCAACAATAGGACAAAATGGCCCTCCAGTGCTTCCAGATTTTCCATGATAGCCTAACTTCAGTTGACTCATGATCTCAATTATTAAAATTACTATACTATCCATAAAACCACTTCTGATAATAAACGGAAAAGTTTGAAAATGTTTATTTATTTTATTAAACTATTCTAAATTATAAGATTAAAGTTCAGTTTTATTATTGAAACAATAAAGTAACTACTGATTAGTAATAGATAATTAGTAATATTAACCATTACGTGTACACTTTAAGTAGTGACATTAATAATAATGAAGATTTTATATTTATATAATGGAATTTCGAACTTTAGCTCTAAACTGTAATTTGTAGTTTATCACCAACTTATTACTATTATGATTACCATTATTATTATTATTATTATTATTATTATTATTATTATTAGTAGTAGTAGTAGTAGTAGTAGTAGTAGTAGCTTTTTTCGGTATTATAGTTTTTGGTGCAATATAGAATTCTCAACAAAAGTATGTTAACAAGTTTCCGATTCTTACATCTCGATCGATACTGACGATAAATATTGAGTGGTTGCTAGTTAGACGTTAGTATGGTGTGGGTTACTTATATCTATATAAGTAGTAGTATATAATAGTGGTCAGGCATAGAATATATTTCAGTAGAAGATCAATGAACAAAGAATAGAAACGGAACTCAGTTGGGTATGAAAATGTATGAACAATGAAATTTGAGACAATGGACTGATATTTGCAAAGGAACAGTCAAATTTGAGATGATGGATTGATATTTTACACATTAACACTTTACTAGATGGTTGTCAGATTTTATTGAGATGTTCTGTAATTTTGTGTTAAATACATTCGACTGTCCCACTGGTGTTCTTATTCACTACATTATTAGCAGTTCAGGAAGCGACATCAGATTAATGTATATTATTTTCGATGAATATTGTCGGCAACCAAGATTCTCTGATTCGACTGTTTTGTAACTTGTATAGCGAAATGTTTTTTGAATTTTTCACAAACACACATGAATAGGTTATGCGACAAAATGATGTGTGAAAAACAAGAAAACAGATAACTTGTTGAAATGTGCATATGGTGGGAACAGGTAGCTCAGATATTTAAGTAGGTTGTCTTGATGAATTCTGTTAGATAACGAGGATTAAAATGTATCGAAGAGTAAATTCAAAATATTTCTTTCTACATGACACAAACATAAACTTGTACAAAGATTGATAGTGGCTAGCAATGAAGTCCAGGATGCGTGTTTCGCCCCAGTTCCGACTTGTCAGCTGAATGTATCTGCATCTCAGAGTTGATGTTCACTCTTGAACGCCATCGCGTCATTCACTTAGCTACTTAGATGCAGGTACATCCAGTTGATGAGCCCTAAATTAGACGAAACACGCGTCCTAAATTCAACTGCTAGTCACTATCCGTTTTTGCTTATAATGCTTGTGAATTAAAGCAATATCGAGGCAGTTCGCACAATCCACATATGTCAATAAGAGACTGATCAATTACAGTCCTAAATAACAATGGGAAGATACAAGTAAACAACACCAAGTGAATTTAACAGAAATTTTTCACTTTTCAATTATGACCCATTAAATATAAAAATATTTACTGTTCAAGTAATTTTATACAGACAAAATTGCAAGAATAGACTTACCGACTTTATTTATTTACGCCTGTTAATCCTCCTGGAGGAGCATAGGCCGCTCACTAGTATCGTTCTCCAGTTGCTATTCTTTCTTTCGATATCTTCTTCCAATTCTTTACGCAATATTGCTTTTAGTCTCCCTCTTTTCCATTTCCTCTCAGGATTGCAAGTTAACACTTGCCTCATAATATAGAGTCCGATAATTTCTACAATGTCGGTCTCATCCACCTTCATTGTCTTTTCTTAATTTCTTTTTCATCAAGAATATAATTATTAGATTATTCAGAAATTTTTAAAAATATATAACATTCTTATCATTACTTACTTACTTACTTACCTACGCCTGTTACTCCTAATGGAGCATAGGCCACTGACCAGCATTCTCTAACACACTCTATATTGGGTCCTCTTTTCTAGTTCCATCCAATTCTTGTTCATTTTTCTCATGTCTATCTCCATTTCCCGTCGTAATGTGTTCTTTGGTCTTCATCTCCTCCTTTGACCTTCAGGATTCCATGTGAGGGTTTGTCTTGTGACGCAGTTAGGAGCTTTCCTCAATGTGTTTCCTATCTACTTCCAGAGCTTCTTCCTAATTTCTTCATCCGCTGGGATCTGGTTTGTTCTTTCCCACAGCAGGTTGTTGCTAATAATGTCCGACCAACGGCTAATATTTTTACCATAAAAGATCCCAAATTGAACTAAATTATTTATATTATCTTATTTTTATTTTTATTCTTAGGGTTATGATACATTAGTTGGTGAAAAAGGGAATAGTTTATCTGGTGGACAAAAACAACGTATAGCTATAGCTCGTATATTAATACGTAAACCAAAATTATTATTATTAGATGAAGCTACATCAGCATTGGATACACAATCAGAACGAATTGTACAAAAAGCATTAGATAAAATTGTGAATAGTTGTACTGTTCTAATTATAGCACATCGTTTATCAACAATTATCAATGCGGATTGTATTGTTGTTCTTGAACAAGGTTGTATACGTGAAATGGGTAAACATAAAGAATTATTAAAATTAAATGGTTTATATGCAACAATGTATTATGGTCAAGTGAGTTATTATCAATTCTTTATATATAATCAGTTGTGACAGTCGGTAATCAATATAAACTTTAAACGTCGTATATAGAGTTCGTCCACATAACGGTTACTAGAGAATGTTTTCAATGGTGTATTAATCAGAAGGTGAATATGAAATGTTGATTAAGTTTATTATTGTACCATGTAGAGATAACCAAAATTACAGGTACGCTAAACAAGCATGAAAGAGTAGTGCCGAAAAGCTAGCAAGGTAAGCGAGTGGACGTGCAAGTCGAATGAGCGAGTATCCGAGCGAGTCAGCGAGTACGAGTACTATGAATAGGATTAAAATGTGCATATAATTTACATAAGGAAATGAATGAATCATTGAATCAATTAAGTGACTAACAGTAAGGCTAGCTGAATGAATATATGAATAGGCAGTAAGCAATGCTCAAGCATGCATATTCATACAAGTGCAACAATGATAAAGATATAATGATGTAAGATAAGTTGTTATTGTACGGAAGGACTCCATCTGTTATATAAGTTAACAAAAGAGCTTAACCAAATGAAATAAGAACAAACTCAATTGCACATGAGCCGCTATACAGCACATAACTGAATGAATTTAAGTGAAATTTCATTTCTCCTGGGATCTTCCTCGAAATAAATTTTTTTTCTCTTAAAGTATTTAAGGTTGAGAAAGAAACAATCGTATCCTGGTCCAAAGTATCGTTAGAGCAGCACTTGTTAGAATAAATCATAATAATAATAATGTACAAACTTAACAAGCCATTGCTCGATCAAAGTTGAAATATTTCAATCAACAAGAGTATAAAATAGGATCATGGAACGATTAATTTTAGACTACCATTGAAAACCTGAAAGCTTTAGACAGCCGTTTCGTCCTAGTATGGAACTTTTCAGTAATACATGTTCTCAACCTCGCACGTACCTAAGACATTCGGTTAGGTGCGCAAACGTTTGACCTGTAAACCACTGATCTGTAATCAAACGATGTTAATGTTCAACATCAGTTAATCCACAACTTTCCGCGATCGCCTTCTATCGTCTTGAGTAGACAACTACCTAACACCTAACACAGCTGAATCCCACTGGCGACGGCTTCTCACTAAAACTCCAAGAATTACCTTCTGAAGCTATTAAACTAGTAAGCACATGATGATTATCAGTATAAGATTATGAAGGTCCTGGGTTTTAGTCCCGCATGCGGGACTTTGTATCTACACAACCATATACTGATAATAGTAGAATAGACCAAGAAAGTAAGTTACTCAGCTACAACGTACGACCGGGCACATATATGCATCGGTCTAAGTTGCCACACCTCATTAGCACAATATGATGAACGCTGGATTCATAGAAGTGGTTAATTCAGTGGTGGTAATATATAAAAGAAAGATTGTGTATAAGGACATAGTATAGGATGAAAGAATTAGACGGTAGAAAAAACATATAAAGCAATTTTAATCTCACGGTTTGAGGGAAGGTAAATAGTGTATACACCTACACCATTGTAATCGATTCTGAGTCATGTCACACAGAATCTCCAACTAATGGTTACGATAGTCACGTGAACTCCAACCAAGTAGTCTGCATCCACCAACATGGCTCAGATCAGAAGTTAGTGACTTTGTGAACTGATGCCACGTTTTGGTTTGGCCATCCCTAGCCTTCTTCCAACCATCACCAACACTAGTCCACATTATGTGTCGTGATAATCGGTGTTCAGGCATACGTAACACGTGGCTCAACCATCTCAGTCGACGAAGACTCACAACCTCATCAACTGATTACCCATCATTCCCTAATACCCTGCGTCTAACCTCACTATTACTTACCCACTGATCGCAGCAAAGGTGAGCAATATTTCTAAAGTATCTATGGTCAAATACCAACAAACATGCCAAGATCTTTTTTTGTCGAAACTTATTTTTTCAAAAATAACTTTAGATTTGAGATGGTGGAGAAGATTTGTAGCTCAGGTGGATGATTTTGGTGGAGTTTTGTTCTCTCAGCTCAGAGAACAAAACTCCACCAAAATAACTTTAGATTGAAACTTGAGAAAAACCTGATTGAATCAATTAACGAATGTTTATGAAATCCTAGCGCATGAATTATGTTTTCTGGTTAGCATTTTCTTAGCGAGTTAGTTTTCTACGGGATGGGGCCGCTGACCCCATGCCCAATCCTCCTCCTTTACCCAGGCTTGGGACCGGCAGTAACTCTAGAAGAGCTACAGGAGGAATTTGAAATCCTAACCAGTACATATAATTGCTAAGATACATAAATATATAAATAATGATATGTGCATCATTCTGTTACATTTTCAAGTGTATTTTAAACAGTTGAAATCAGTAACCAGTTTCTTTTCAAAGAAAACACTTCATCTTGTATATGGTTGTTCTGTTATCACAATACTCATATGAGTCATTTGTGAATGAAATTTTTCATTCATTTACCAAGTGATAGCAATTACGATCTTAAAAAATGTAATACACAAATGAACAAATGAAAATGTAGTACCCTTTTGAAGTTTACTTAGCATTTATATTGTTATCATTCTGTTACAATTATTATCATCACAGAAGTAATCAATAAACTACGAGAAATAATCAATCAAATAAAATGATCATCTTCATATTGTATCAGTCAGTCAGTAACAACGTCGAACTTCGTACCTACGTACGTACATCAGTTCAAGTTGCCACAGCACATTAGCACAGAGATGCATTTGTCGATTCAAATCCCATATTGGTAGAGGTAGTAAAAGTATAAGATGGTGGCAGTAGTTAGAAACAATAGGGTTTCAAGAGTATATAGTGAATTTGGAAAGAGAAAAATAAAAGGACATCAATAATTCATAAGATTAGAATTTGGAAGAACACAAAGAGTGGATGCACCTGCGCCGTTGTAAACGATTTTGAGCCATGTCATTCAGGGTCTCTAACCATCGGGTGCTATCGTCTCGCTAATCAGAACCAGACAGTCTACATCTACCAACATGGCTCAGTCCACTTGTCAGTGACTTCATGGACTTGTGCCATGTATACAATTCTTTTAACGTATATTGTATTAAGTAATTTCTGTCGATTATTTCCAAACATGATCTAAGACAACGTGTTAAGTTTGATTGTGATTTAATTACTTAAACCTTAAAGGCACCTGATTGCTGATGATAAGATGAATGAAATTTATATTACTTACACCTGTGTTTACGAGATGGATTTACTAACCTTATGCCCAACGCTTCTTTATCTGGGCTTGGAATAGACAGTAACCTAAGAAGAGTTTCAGGCGGAATTATATATATATATATATAATGTTTTAATCAGTCTGTTCTGGTGTACTATCCTGAAGTAACTATCTATTTTTAGTAATTTCAAGATTGCACTTTAGGCACATTGTTTGCCTTGATAACCTGATTTCTGAGTAAATAATTATTACACATTTTATCTAATCAATAATGGATGTCCATTAACCTACTTCTAAGTATTCCTTAACAATCTTGATTTGTTAGTTATACATAAATGTTGTTTCATCAGTAAAAGGTCAATGGTATTTCACAACTTCCAAATGTTTTAGCGTTCAGAGCACTTGATATTAAATAAATATGTCACAAGTTTGAAATCTTTTCACCATTTAGTTTAGTTTAGACAATTGAATAGTATCAATATCTCTCATATACCAACCTTGAATTCTAACTCAGTTACATAAAACTTTTTGACTGATCAATAACTATAAATAAAATCATAATATCACTTTTGATTGAGATCATGAACCGAATGTTGCTAGACCACCAGTGAGAACTTGGAAGCACTGGACGGCTCTTCCGTCCTATTGTGGGACTGCTCAGGAGTGTGCGTCCACGATCCCGCCCGCGGGATTTGAACCCAGCGCCTTCAGTCTCGCGCGCGAACGCGATTTGTATTTTGAGAATACGTTTGTTTTTATTCCAATTTGAATAAACAGTAATACAGATGATCAGTTACTTCACGAATAATGATACGTACCCCTTAAACAGGTTATGTACCTAGCAGTAGTATCCTATTTGATCTCATGATGTAGTTACTGTGTTTAGATCTCAGTGTAAAGGTGTGGTAATACGATTGATACATGCCTACGTGATTTATTCTAACTTTTGAGCATGCAAATTTATTATTTTTGAGTCATTATGTACACATATTTAGCTCTTGTCAAATACTTGCCTCTTATATGTAAATATTTCTGTTTTTCACTTACTCTATTCATTATCTGTTCTTATCTTGCTTTTATCTGTGTCATTACAAATGCTGAATCACACTAAAAGTATGTAGGCTTGAAAGCCCTACTCGACTCAGCGCCTCTCATGGTCAGTCTGAATGATATGTGCTCATCCACAATCCTTAGCACTTCAACTTTCGATAAGTAGGATATATACACAGATAGATCGAACTAATGAATCCTTTTATAGGAATGATGCATATGTCTTAAATTCAATTATCAAACACAATTCAAACACCATATTCTTTATTTTTGTTTTGATTTAAAAGGAAAGGATCGATAAAGAACAAGATGATTCTACAGATGATGAAGACAATTACAATGAAAATGATGAAGCAAAAAGACATTTAACTAATCAACTTCCATCTCCCTTTCCAAAAGATGATTATTCCGAATGTAATGTATGTTTTAATGTAAATTTTAAATGATATATATTCTATTATAAGGAAGAAATAATAATAGTTGCATGAAGTATACATCTTACTTAGATTCATCAGAACTACATAATAACATGTAAGCGTAATACATTTCAAACAATAGTCTGATCACATGTTTACTTATTAAGATATTTATCTGGTGGGCGGCATATGATCCTCCACGAGGAGTAACAGGCTTAAGTAAATAAGTAAATAATGTTTACTTATCAAGATATTTATCTATGAAAAATAGTCAAATGACATAAACTGTAAGATATTAAGGAAAAAAAACATAATGAATTGCACTACTCTAGATAAATAAATCAGCGTTACCCATGGTTGGTATCAACATGAATGGATTTCAAAAATGAGAACTCGTTTACAATGCAAAGTCAAAGACTCACAGTGAAGAATTCTTTTTTTGGCAAAAACGAGATCTTATACATCAGAATTGTTTTTAATGTAGAAAGTTGATACATTATCTTTCAAATCAATCGGTGATCAAAGATATAGGCGTCACACTGGCTTGGAATAAGTCAGATATCGTCAATGATAATTTCATGAACTCAGAGGTTTTATGGTCTTATATTTGATCCACAACAATTTCTTGAAGTCTTGATGCTGAGGAACACAATACTTAGATGAAACCTTGTCCAATGCTTATAAATGTACCAAGGTTTCTTAAATGAAGTCAGTCCCTGATGTAAACTACTATCAGTTAAAAGTTCTTCATCTAAAACTAAACATCTACCTGTATGTTCTTTTGTTATAACGAAAAATGGATCTAATTGTTCGTGTCACTATAACTAGATACAACATTAGGATACCTGATTATATTACATATTCGATTCAATTATCCAGTTGTTTGGTCAAGAACTAGACTAAACCATCACAGGAGTTTTTTGACATAATTATGAAACAGTCGATTGTTAGAATCAAAATTGAAGTACATTTTGATAATAAATAAGATAACCTCCTGTTTTTATTATAGTTAGACATGTTTGTCTTTATATATTGACGGTGGCTCAGTTTCGTAGATTGTTTAAAGTTAGATATCAACACCGTTGGATGCCGAGCGGCTCAGTGGTCTAGAAGTTAGGCGCGAGACTGATAGGTCCTGAATTTGAATATGGCGAGGCGGAATCGTGGATACTCACTGCTGAGGAGTTCCACAATAGGACGAAGTGGTCATCCAGTGCTTCCATATTTTCCATGGTGGTCTAGCATTAATTGACTCATGAATTCAACTATAAAATTACTAAAATCTCCACAAAACTCCTTCTGATTATAATTACAGATTGATTTGATCCCTTAACTCTCTTAATTATTTCATTTACTCTCTAGTAAAAACTGATAATTAATTTCTATTATACATTGTAGAGTGTTACAACGAGTTCTTTACATAATAAAACTGTAGTATGGATTGCAACAAATATTAACACAGAGGTTAGTAATTACTTTATAATCTAGTTTCATATAGACACATATACACATACACACATAAACACACTTTAATTCTTACCACTTGTTAGTAACAGAATTAGGGGCGGCCAAACCAAAACGTGGCATCAGTGTTTGAAGTCATTAACTTCTAGTTTGAGCCATGTTAATAGATACAGACTACTCGGTTGGGATCCATGTGACTATCGTAACCGATGGTTGGTCATTCTGGTTAACTTGGTTCAGAATCAATCACAATAGCGTAGGTGTATACACTCTTTGTCTTCCCTTAAACTAAGAGATTAAAATCGCTTCATATCTTTCTTTCTACGAATTAATTCTTTCTTCCTGTACTATATCCTTATATGCAATCTTTCTCCTATATATTACCACCTTTGACCTAACCACTCCTATGAATCCGGTGTTCATCTTGCTGTGCTAATGCGGTATGGCAACCTGGACCGATGCATATATGTGCCTGGTCCTACGTTGTAGCTGACTGACTGATTGAACAGAACATGAAACTTTCCATAAGTAATCACAAGAATGATCTTTAAATGGAAGTATCAATGATTTGAGATATGAATTTTCGTTTGTTAATATGAAATCTTGATCGATCGACGATATATATATTGATGTAATAAGAGAAGATGATTATTAACCAGAAGAACAGATTTTCTTAGAATAAAGTTATTTACAATGAAATCATATGATGATTAGATTGTTATAAATCAGTTATCAATTATCAATTCAGTGGATTGATCAGTCTCTAAGGTACTCAATCTTGACTGTTGAGCTTAATTCTAAATGAAATATGACACATCTTTTCAATCAGTAGTAAGACTGTAAGACACTTGAAAATATTTCAAGCATCAGTTCGCTCAAGTATAAATGATACATCTTGCTGATGTGTGCCCAACAGCACGAAATCTAGGTCTAGGATTTCCTGTTGACTACTTCCAACCACCATTTTTTCTTACTATAGTGCACTCAATGTCGAGTCGCCTAAACTGGTGACCATATTGCAACTTGGTTGACAGTATTCGATCTGCATTAAGAGGGGCCTGACATTGTATACAAAAAAAATTTACCACTTGAAATAAATGTAATTTTTTTCTACACTTTGATTAGTTACCATCTAAACACCTTTAAGTGATACAATTTCTTGTATCTATAATAGTGATGATGGAAAGTCGAAATTCTTATTCAACTAAAGAATACTGAATGTTACTGTTTAATTAATCTCCATATAATTTTTTTTAATATTACACCACAACACGGTACTTTGCCTTTTCACATAAAGATACTGAGTAAATTATCATGAATCATTGACTACTCATTTGAATATCGATGTTCAAGTTACCATGGTAACAATTCACAAAACCATTAGATTATTTAATGTGTTCTATTGTTATACTGAATAGTTACGTAATAAACCACGATTTAATTTGTCTTCAGTATTTTTTTTAATTTTCCTTCTTTAAACTTATTTCAGATTAGTAGAGTTCACAATTCTTTATACTTGCGTCTTTTAAGCATTAATCAACCAGAAATGATTTACATTACAATGGGTTGTTTCTGTTCAATTATATCAGGACTATTACAACCAGCTTTTTCACTTCTTTACGCTGAAGTTTATCAGGTAACATATAACAGTGGTTTCATTTGTAATAGTTACTATGTAAATACTATTCTTGTTGTATAGTCGGATTTGGTATCATAAAGGAACGTTTAGTGCGTTTTATGTTTTATGTGATTCATAATAGGCTTTATAGTATGCATTTGTCACTTGAAATAAGGAGATAGTAACACTGGGTGATGCAAATTCATATTGTACAGCAAAATATCAGTTCTTTTAAAGTTACTCAGATGTTTTATTGTCAATTTCATATTATCATCAAACCTAGATTCAGGACTTTCTGCTGATCAACACTTTTTACACTGATAAGATGGTGGTTGTAGGTAGTCAACAGGAAACTCTGGATCTAGGTTTCGTGCTACTTGGCACTTGTCGGCAAGGTTTACCTGTAATCTTGAAGGAACTGATGCTTTCTGACGGGTTCGATCCTGTGTCACCCAACTGTTGACTTCCTGTTGACTACCTCCAACCACCATCATATCTCCACATAGTGCACACAATCTCAAGTTACCTAGACTGGTGGCCACATTGCGACTTGGCTGATAGGATGCGATCTGCACTAAGAAGGATTTGACGTACATGACATTGATCACCACCCAGTGATTAATCAATTGTAAACATTATTTACACTGAGCAATATTCGCTAGTTTAGGAGTTTGTTAGAAGGAATTTAGAGGTGGCCAAATCGAAACATGATATCAAACCATAAAGTCATTGACTGTCAGACTGAGCTGTGTACTGGCCAATAAAGAATAGCTGATGGGGTTACGCGCAACAATCATGGCTATTGGCTGAATATGTTGGGTGGTACGGTCAAGAGCAGGACGTGATGGCACATATATTATTCACTCTTTGTTTTTCTTCGATATCTTTAGTTCCCAAATTATTCTGAGAATTCATGTTTTCTTCTTTAACAGTATTCCTTATGAATATTGTCTTTTATAATCACTGATACGTCTACTACTTTTCTATTCACCTTAATAATCCCATCATGTCTTGATGTGAAGGTACTAATTGAAACGATCCACATATATAACAGGTTTACATCGCCTACGACTTACACAAAAAAAAATTAAAATGATTATGAATGAGTAGTATATGTTTACTTCATAGCGTGTATACAGTTCTTTACACACTTAGATACGACAAAATAAAGCCATTTGAATGCTTATCATATGTACACGTTGACAGTATATCTCTGATGTTATATCATATAAAATTGTGGTTGATTATTCACCATGTATAAAATTAATTATAAGTTATTAACTAAAGTACATGAAAATAGCTTCCCTAGGTTTTATCAAGCTTCGAAGCAGGAAAAAAGGGCGGATTTCATGGATAATCAGTTTATTGGATTTTCAATCACATATACATAAACAGAAAAAGATAGTGGCTAGCAGCGTAATCCAGTTTCGTTCTACTTAAGACTCATCAGCTTGATGTATCTACATCTCAGAGTTGATGTTCACCCTGGGACTCGAACCCAGTACAATTGACTTCAAATTTATAACTTGCACAAATATATTCCGTAGTTTTATTTCAAGTGCTAATAAACAGTGTTTAGTATCTTATGTCACATGGGACAAAATGGGTTTATCTTGGCAATCTGTACAATACATACATACATATGACTGGTAAGATTGATTAAAATTTAATCAAGATCATCAACAAAGGAATATTTCAATCTTTCCTAATAATGACATAATTATCATATTTGTTGAATATTTGGGCGGTCATCTGGACTTAGTAGCTTATTGGATAATGTTTTGGGCATTTTAAGTGATAGGTACTGCGTTCGTGTCTCAGAGACAAGAATAAAATCATCAAATAGTTTACATTATATATTGATACTGTAAACTAATAAAGCCTTGACTCATGTTGAATTGTTTTAAGTAGTATAGATGCAGTCTCTGCATCAGTAGGCCTCAGCATACACAAAGGGAAAACCAAAGTCCTCAAATTCAAAGCGGAAAACAGCAATCCAATCACTCTTGATGGCGAAACTCTGGAAGATGTAGAGTCCTTCACATACCTAGGAAGCATCATCGATGAACAAGGAGGTTCAGATGCAGACGTAAAGGCGAGGATCGGCAAAGCAAGGGTCGCATTCCTACAATTGAAGAACATATGAAACTCAAAACAACTGACAACTAATATCAAAGTGACAATCTTCAATACCAACGTCAAGGCAGTTCTACTGTACGGAGCTGAAACTTGGAGAACTACAACAACCACCATCAAGAAGGTACAAGTATTTATAAATAGCTGTCTACACAAGATACTCAACATCCATTGGCCAGATACCATCAGCAATAACCTTCTGTGGGAGAGAACAAACCAACTTCCAGCTGAAGAAGAAATTAGGAAAAGACGATGGAAATGGATAGGACATACATTACGCAAATCGTCAAACTGCATCACGAGGCAGGCCCTAACTTGGAATCCTGAAGGGAAGAGAAAAAGAGGAAGGCCAAAGAACACATTGCGTCGGATAATAGAAGCAGATATGAAAACGATGAATTACAACTGGACGGAGCTAGAAAGGATTGCCCAGGACAGGGTTGGATGGAGAATGCTGGTGAGCGGCCTATGTCTCTTCATGAGGAGTAACAGGCGTAAGTAAGTAAGTAAGTAAGACATAAAAAGACAATTGTACAACAGAAAATTTGGGTTGTTTTAAATGGAATAAGATTGATGTGCCTTAAATATAGTGAAATAAAATAGCAGTATCAGAGAAAGTACAATATATATGTATCTATATACACACATTATCGTCTTTATATTGTGTATTAATTTTAGGTATTTGGATTACGTAATAATCCTGATAAAATGATTGAAAGAATTAATACAGTTTCTGGTATTATGGCCGGATTAGGATTTGTTCAATTAATTGTCGGTGCTATGCAGGTAAAATATAAACTTTTTATTTCATAAACATAGTTTCCTTTATTAGAGAGCAAGAACAAAGATTGGTGCAGAATAATAAATGGATTCATTTTATTGCATTAGGTTGCATCAGTTGCTTACAACGTATTTCATATTTCACTGATTGAAATCATGAGTCAGTTGAATCTAGACCATCATGGAAAACCTGGAAGCACTGGACGACCGTTTCGTCCTAGTATAGGCCTCCTCAGCAGTGCGCATCCACGATTCCGCACCCCGCGAGATTCGAAGCCGGGATTTATCAGTCTCGCGCCAGGCACTTAACCAACTAGACCACTGAGCCGGCATCCAACGGTGTTAATGTCTAACTTCAACCAATTCACGAAATTGCGCCACCGTACACCATTGTCTTCAGTGAGTTGATATCTCACAACAGACCTAGCGCGAGACTGATAGGTTCTGGGTTCGAATCTCGCAGGGTGCAGGATCGTGGATGCGCACTGCTGAGGAGTCCCATGCTAGGACGAAACGGCCATCCGGTGCTTCCAGGTTTTCGATGGTCGTCTAGCTTCAACTGACTCATGATTTCAATCAGTGAAATTTCTAAAATCTCCACAAAACCACTTCTGATATTACTCCATATTCTCAAGTCAACGTTATTACAGATATTGACATATATATAAGAAGATGATTAAAGATGTACCATGATGTAATGAATATTTCAATAGAGTTCATAAGGTCATAGAAACTGTTTGTTTTGGATGAATAAAGTTTGGGAGGGAAGGTTCTAGAACATTGAAATAGTGATTAGGACTCATGGAATTATAAAAAAACACATTAGATGATTATTTAATGAAGTAACTGAGATTAGATTAATGGTAATATAAAGAAAGATATGAATTGAGATCGGTCAGTTGTGAATTAAAGAAAAATGGCGATAATGTAATTTAAACTTCAGAAGAAGTTGAAATAATGAATGACGTAATAAATAAAAAAGGGGGGGTCCCCCTCACGAAGCTAGTCACTAGTGAGTACATGGTAATATCAGTCTAGGGTTGTGAAGATTATCAAGCTTTCGATTGAGATCATGATCGTGATGGATGGGTGGATGTACCTGTATCTCAGAGTTGATGTTCATTCTGGAACTCGAGATACAGGTACATCCAGCCGACAAGTCTCAAATAGAATGAAACGCGCATCCTGGATTCTAGTACTAACCATTATCCATCTTTGTTTAGAATGTTTGTGAATTAAGGTAGTATCGAGGTAATATTCACAGAATGTACATATGCCAATAAGAGACTGATCATTTGCAGTCCAAAACATCAATGGGAAGATTCAAGTAAAACAATACTAAGTAAATTCAACGGCATGGTTTAGAAAAGGTAACACAAAATCCATCCACTGAGCCATTCTTTCTCATTTTGTATTTAAAAATATGATATTCAGATAAATGAACTTTTTGCTATTTTTATTAAGCCCCAAATAATCTGTTTAGAAGTGTAAGATTACAACTCCTTTACATAACTGAAGCCATAGGGATCAACTCCATAAGGCTTAACTTATGTATCCAAAAGAAGTATGTTTGACATATCCAGGATTGTATTACCATTAAATTAAACTGGATATTTTAAACCCTTTACCAACCAATTCCCATTATCGAAAACATGAATCAATTTAAGTTAAACTATCATTGTGAACCTGGAAGTATTTCCTGGCTATCTTAATGGTGGTCAATTAAATTAATCAATCTCCCAAATGCCCATTACTAACAATTCCCCTTATGTTTTTGTCTGTCCAACTCCACTTTTAATTCATACATTCATCGTTCCTAACCCATATGAATTTCTTATAATAATTTTCTTGATGTCACCTCTTCAATCACGTTAACTTTATCTCCTCTTACCCTCCATTTCTAGACAAGTTGACCTTTATCGATTTATATATAAATGTTCTTCACAAGTGTATGTGTGATCAGATTGTTCGAAATGGATTGCGGTAATATATCATATAGTTCTTTGTCTTCTTATTACACTATCGATATCCCCTATTATCCACATATGTTATACATATGATTTATGTTATAATTATTATTTTCATTATACCTGGATACCTTGTGACGAGTTGTTCTGATCTTTCTAATTTACAAATGACACAATTTTGAAGTATTTATGCCATAACAGACGTAAAATTTCACCATTTTCAATGTAATAACATTGTCTGGTTCACTAATCCATGCCGTAACTTGGCCTTTTGTAAAAAGAATACAATAATTATGAACTTATTCCTGTAGGGTCTAATGACAAAGTTATTGAAAACAATTATTCACTTAAATATTCTGTTTCTGAACATTCAATGAAGTATACATATCGTGGAAGCGCACTGCTAAAGAGTCCCTTGATAGGACGAAACGGCCGTCCAGTGCTTTCAGGTTTTCCATGCTGCTTTACCTTCAATTGATTCATGAACTCAACTATTAAAAAAATATACATATAAGTTAACTGATTTGATTCCGTACTATCAGTTATTACTTGATACCATTCAAATTAGTTTATATGGTAGTTTTTACTGAAGACTTGATATCAGCTACAAAACAATGCAAAACCATAAAAATTATGTATATCATTCACTGAATAACAATGTAATCTTCTCCCCTTAAGATATGAGAATACTGAATTCTATTTGATGTTTGATTGTTGTTAGTATATTGTTGAGAAGTCTCATACTAGACATTAACACCTTTCCAATGTGTTCCCTGATGTTCTCAATCGTTATATAATTCATCTCAGTCAGTTTATGATAAGTATGCTCTTAACGCTATCTAGATATTCTGTTATAGATAGTAATCAGTTATGTACTATATAAAAAAGTCAAACAGTGACTAGAGTTAGAAAACTAATTACTTAAGTTTCTTCAGTGTATAATTTTTTATGTAAGGGTTAGTGATACTATTACCCAGTTGTCCAAACTTAAATACGTGGAGCGATATTTGAATCTGTATGTTAATCATTTGAGTTAAATACTTCGACATTCTCTTTAGCATTTCGTTCCGAAGACTAATTGTAATATATATTGACTTCAAATACATCAGTATACCAAGAAGAAAGTATTCATTCTTTATATTAAATAATCATCCAGTGCTTCTAGGTTATCCATGGTGGTCTAGATTCAATTGACTCATGATCTCAACTAATAAAATATTATAATATTCAAAAACCACTTTCTGATACTAATCAACATATGCTCACTAGTGACTGGCTTCAAGTGGTATTTCTAGAGTTCTAGTGAGAAGCAGTGACCAGTGGAGTTCAACCGGGTCTGTTGTGAGATAGCAAGTCACTGAAGACAATGGTGGATGTGTCCCTCAATTTCGTGGATTAACTGAATTTAGACAAACATCGTTGGATGACGACAACACTTTCATGATAATCAGTTCATTTGTGTATATTCATATGGTACACATTGAATTTAATTGACATATTCATTTTAGTAACATTATTTTATTGAATTCCAATAACATTTTTATTCCCTTAAAAATTAAATTAGGGTTATTTATTTGGAGTCGCTGCAGAACGTTTAACTAAACGTTTACGATCAAACTTGTTCGACTCTATGCTGAAACAGGTAATCTATTGTTATATTTATCTTAGATTGTTGAAATTAGGCGACAGGAATTCCTAGACCTTGGTTTCTTGTTGGTTAGGACCCTACCAACAATGTGTACATTTAATCTTTAGGGAAAGACGTTACCATTGAGCTATTCAATAATGATTAGACTCCTATAGCACTAATATGTTTACAACTGATTGATAACTTAATACTGGTCAACCCCATGTCTGAACATCTCTTTAGGCATCGGTCGACATCTATCAACCGAACTGAAATATATCCACTAATTTAATTAGACTTGACAACAATTAGAAGTTACATAACACTATCTGAAAGGAATTCTGAACGTAGTTTATCAACAACCAGTTCCTTTTAATGCTGGATGTTCGAATAACCTTTTCAGCTTCTACGCTGGAAAATGTTACTGCTGACAGATGATAATTTGTTTTGAACTGTGCAAAAATTAATCGGAATTTTTAACTAGCCATCTTTTGCTGCAGCCATTTGTCTGTGAGGTTCTTGCCGATCAGGATTTTCCTATTAACAATCTCACTAATTGCCATTCATTTACCGCAAGCTTACCAACAGGATCAAACAATAAATAATATGTATTTCCTGTTTCTCTTAACACTTCCCGATTATAAATAAACAGTAATTAGTTAATTGCACTACTACAACTCAATTATTTTTTAAGGAAACGATGTGACGGAGAACTTGTTTATCTATGATAATCAGTTTTGTCAACCACTGATAAAGCAATGGAGTCATTAATGAGTGAAATTGAATTCACTAGAAGGCATAAGTCGCCTTAGAGTCGCTAGTACAAACTGTTAGTGAGTGCCAAGTAATACAAAACCTAGATTCAAGAGTTTCTGTCAACTTTCTCTAAAGGGAGTTTACTTAAGACTAAGCTTTCAACGAATATGAGTACATTGTTAATCAGCCTATGTCAGTGTATGCATACTTTATACGTAGAATCCTCCTTAAATTTTAACTATGATATTTTCAACTGTAGGTACACTGATGAAACGTTTCATTTAATTTAATATTCGTCACTTGGTTTCTGATGATACTCAATCGATTAAAATCAGTCTAATCTCAAAAATCAGGCGCTTAAGGAAATATATGTAATGATTCTCAGTACAACTACTAAGATTACAATAAATTTCTAGATGTAAAATGTATAACCACGTTACTTTACTATGTTCATTTTAGTTGAATTCATGAGTCAATTAAAGCTAGACCACCATGGAAAATCATGGAAGTACTGGACGACCGTTTCGTCCTAGTATGCAACTCCTCAGCAACGCGCATCCACGATCACACTACTGCGAGATTCAAATCCACGACCTATCGATCTCGCGCTCGAACACTTAACCCTTAGACCACTGAGAAGTCCCATACTTGGACGGAACAGTCGTCTGGTGCTTCCAGGTTTTCCATGGTGGTCTAGCTTTAACTGACTCATGAATTCAATTATTAAATTACTGAAATCTCCACAAAACCTCCGATATTTTCCTTCTATCAAAATTAAGGAGATTGGTTGGTTCGATCGACCTGAAAATCGAGCTGGTGCACTTACTGCATTTCTGTCAACAGATGCTTCAAAAGTTGCTCAAATTAGTGGTTCCAGATTGAGTACAGCATTTGAAGCTGTGGTTTTAGTCATTGCTTCCCTGGTGATTGGATTTATTTATAGTTGGCAGTTAACTTTAGTTATGGTTCCATTCATACCAGTATTACTGTTATCCTCTCGTGTAAATGTAAGTGTTTTGTTTATATTTTTTTTGGCTATATTCGTCTTTAAGCACTAATTTTCAGGTGGAGTTAAGTATTACATAACTTGTATGACGAATAAACAATTTGAAATCTATCCAAATGCAAACTTCTTGAAACTTGAAGGTCAATTCATATTAGACAGTATTAGTAATCGTGAAGCTTAGTTGCAATATTTTCGTCAAGACTATAATTTATGAACGAGACAATCAGAACAGTTTGAGGGATTTCGAGATCACGGCGCCAACTTCCGTACTTAATGCTAACGTAAGATCGGTTCACAGGGAATTTTTGTACAAAACGTGATAATTGAGAGGCTATAACAAATAAAACGGAGAGACTATAATTTGTGAACGAACCAACCAAATATAAGATAACAGATCTTGGATCTTGGCGCGAAAGTCTTTCATCCATTTGGCTAAATAAAGCTTTGGCATTATAGCTGATGTCAGTTCGTGATGAAAACCCTGTATATGATTCCCAACTAAGGCAAATTATGACAATTATTGCGAACTGGATAATAATACCTGGCTCAGCCAGGTACTACAATATTTAGGGATGATTGGAGAGCGTACAGACTCCTACATAGGCTTGGTTATGTGCATCGTATCGTTATCCACAAGTGACATTTTATGTACTCAACAACCGGAGTGCACACAAACAATATTGAAGCTATGTGCTCAAAGCTGAAAGAATTCTCGCGACCTTATCATGACTCCAGTGGTCGACTCTTCTGTAGCTATATGGATGATTTCCTCTACTACATGCATTACGATTTCAGAACCTCTGAACCTCTTTCTAACATTAACAAGTTTTTGAACCATGTAAAGAGAAGTGTATCCACTTTAATTCTTTAGTTTTGTATAATATATTTATACTCTATGCTAACTGTTTACTGATTGTCTCAAGGTCATTTAAGATTCATTTAAAGGTCACCCATATATTATAGTCTCGCCGAACCGTCCATCTCACATTTAAATCGATTTGTATAGCTAACCTACTATGGACTTTGACCACAGCATTGATAATACTCAATAGATAGTAGTTGGACATAAAATTTAAATGGAGTATACTTTGTGTCCCATTATGCGAATCTGTCTGCATTTCAAAATGTGTTCTCATTCTTACTAAAACTTGAACACAGAATTCAATGCATCAGCAACTAGACTTCTCATTAAGTTACTTCTGTGGACCATTTAATTCAGTGGTTACGAGTTGTTATCAGAGTATAACTATAGAAATTACTAGTATCATAGTGGTCAGTTCTTACAATACAAAACACTTATTTTGTTTGGTTAAGTGATTTGTAAATATCGATTAGATTCAAAATAACTTTATCTTTACTCGAAGCAAAAATCAACATTTTTGACGTCTTTATTTGTATATTCACTACATTATTCGCTCTCATAAGATTAGAATAATTCATTTTGTCTATTCCAAGGGGATAGTCGAATCATGTATATATCCTCGTTCTTAGAAACGTCTATTACTCTTGAGATTTAAATCGTTCGCTTTCTGATGAAACTGACAAGCAACTAGTTTTGTATCAATAAACAATATCTCTGACTGATACTATGTAGTTTGACAAAATCAATCCCATAAGGTACAGAATATTATTCTGATTCCTTGATGATACAAGTTAAATTTGGTAAAAACCTCACTCTATGACTTTTTGATTGAGATCATGAATCGACTGATGTTAGACCACCTTTGGAAACTTGGAAGGACTGGATGGCCGTTTCGTCCTATTGTGGGACTCCTCAACAGTGCGCATTCACGATCACGCTCGCGGGATTTGAACCCAGGGCCCTCGGTCTTGCGCGCGAACGCTTGATCTACTAAACCACTGAGCCACCATCCAATGGTGATACTGTCTAACATCAACCAATCCACGAAATTGCGCGACCATCTTCCATTGTACTGAGGTAGATAGCTGTCTCTCTCTACGACTTTTGTTCGAACACAAACTAGATAATTGTATAACATTTTGTGTGTATATTTATATTTCATAGTTTTACATTCGTAACAAAACTACTGTCGTTTGATTCATTGGTATTCAGTTAACACACAAATTATATAGAACATTCTGAGATCCTAAGAATATAGATATGCATATATTGATCACTTGGCATTTCCAATGTAGTGTTTTTCTAGATAGAGATGAGCCATGGTAACAAGTACCGACTAGAACAAAGCCAAATCTAAAGAATTCCCTATCAACTACCTTTAACTACCTAACCTAATCATATGTATTTCTTTATTGATTGAATCAACAGTTTCTTTATCTAGTTTTCAAAGTAAATTTATGTTTACTAAATATATATTTATTTATTGTTTAGATGAAAAATGCATCAAAAATGGAAGATAAAATTGTTACTAAAGGGTTATCTATTGCCAAAGAATCAATTAGTGCTCATCGTACTATGAAAAGTTTATCATTGGAAGAATATTTTTATCAACGTTTTAAATTGACTTGTATTGAAAGTGCCAGGTAAAAAAATAGTTTAATCTTGATTTTGAATAGTAACTAAGTGAAATAGGATTTTGATGTGTTTTTTTTTTCCTTTTTTTTAAAAAAAATCGATGTCAGTAAAAGGGCGCTTGCTTGAGCATCTGGGCTACCTGTTCCTACCATCTAGACATTTCAACAAGTTATCTATTTTTGTTTGTTTTAATATATCATTATGTTTATTAATCGCATAACCTATTCTGCTGCGTTTCTGAAAAGTGTACAACCTTTCGTTGTCAAAGTTACAAAAAACTCAATAAGACACAATGTAGTTGCTGGCAATATACAGCGAAAAGAATGCACATTATTCAGATGTTCATTTATGAACTGCTAACATCTAACTGGCGACCACTCGATATTTATCGCCAGGACCGACCAAGAAGAAAGAAACGGAAACTTGTTGAAATACTTTGCGCTGAGAATTCTACATTGTACCAAAAATATAATATTGAATAAAGTTGATAATAATAATAATAATAACAATAATAATAGTAAAGTAAATGATTTAGGTAGATGTCACTTCTCTATTTACAAATGTTCTAGTCATAGAAACAATTTAATATTTTTTGTGATTGTATGACGAGATTATACGTTATGGACGAACCAATCACGTATAAGATAACGGATCTCGGATTTTGGCGCGAAATTCACTCATCCATTTGGTTAAGTAAGGTTTTGGCATTATAGTTGATATCAGTTCATGATGAAAAACTTTAAATCTAATCACCTAACCTTAATCATCAATTGTAAATCACAGTCCTAATTCCTCACACTGTTTTATAACTCTCATTTGGTTCCAGTTATTAGGTGGATACTCTCAAGGTCAGTTTAGCGTTGCTCATAGGTCGTCCTTAAATTATAATCTCACCGATGATACTGACCATGACAAAGTCAACATTCTAAAACATTTCTTAGAAGAATTAATATATCTCAATTGCAACATACAATTCAGAATTCTCTAGACAAATAAATGGTGTTCCAATGAGGTCTACATTATGCCCTCTTCTAGTAGGCTGTTTTCTTACTAACTGGAAGAATTATATCATTCCAGCAATAATGTATATATCGATAATATCGTTATCATCTATGACGAAAACAGAGTGATTTTAATAAAATATTGCAAGAGTTCACAAATTGTCATTATCCTATTAGCTTTATAATAGAATTGAAGTTGGATTCAGAATTTTGTTTTGTTAATGTTTGATTGAAACGTAGATGAAATGTATCTTCACAACGATATTTATGCAATAAGCCAACTTAGAACAGATAGTATACGAATTTCCAGAATTGGATGGATGGTTCTTATGATTTGAAACAGAATTTCATCTGTTCTCTATCTTTATGACCAAGAGGACATATACAGAAAAGACGAAATTGATCATTAGCTGAATAAAATTCAACGGACACTATTTGAAGAATAGTTTCCCTCTTAAGTTGTTTGTTATTAAACTGAGATCAACAAGTTAGGTTCAAATTACTCTCATGATTCTGCAGGAATTTTCATTCATGACCATTGAATTCAATGGAAATACGGATGGGGAGATACTAAAGGATAGATTATTTAGATTTGTGAAAACGCGGTTGGACCCAGTAGAACTTCGAATTGTTTTCTTCAGTAAGGAAATTACACGGGAAAGTGTCAAGAATAAACTACTTCTTTGGATCACTTTGATGTGCACCTATCGGTTTAGTTGTTTTTGCTAAGCAAGTTATATTCAACGTACAAAGCAGGCACTTGGTAAACGAATGTCTGATTGTTATGACTTTAAGTTGTGGCCGATTTTTACCCTGTGCTAATTGTTGTGTCCTTGACTGGAAAATTAGAGAGCAGCGTACTTATCGATCGATTCAATGACACATAAACACGTACGGACGGCCTAGAGTCTCGATTGGTCTCACTTCCCTGTCTAGCCCAGTCAGTTGAGTCCAGAACACAAGTCACAGCCTCGGAGATATGAATCATTGTATTTCAGACATGCTCTATTTATATACCAAACAAGCAAACCACATCGTACCATAAAAATAGTAAACAACATTTACACAATATGTAACGAATGAATTAAATAATAGCCAATAGGGAATGTACATTTAAAGTCCAAGGCCACCATAGACTTAACATGACAATGATTGGCATATTATTCTGTATCCACAACACTGATCATTACGGTAAAATGCTATCTAAAAAACAATAAAAATCGATCAAAAACCCAATCCATAAGTATATGGTCAACTGTGGTCACTTGCCACCACGGAAATTATCGTTAAAGATCGTCTACAAATTTAAATGTACTGGCTGGAAGAAAGTTTAGACAACGAATTTGTGCACATCTGAATTGATTTTCATTTGATTGAAGATGATTATTGCTTTTTATATCTTCAGTAGTATATCTTTTTAATGTTTTATTTTAAAAACCAAAAGTTCCATGAGCTTATTTCAGTAGTATCCATTCTTATTAGTTTCTCAGTTATGATCATGTATTATTGAAATCATTTATATTGAGCTGTGATGTTGTTATGAAGAAACGTCCTGAATACATATGTATGTTAGTAGACAATAGTAATTTATTTTAAGAAATTATAAGTTTTGTGTGAGATTTACTAGTTTTAATTGAAAAGTTCAGATTTCGCGGTGCGGGATTGTGGGTGCACACTGTTGAAGAGTCTCACAATAGTACGAAACGGCCGTCCAGTGCTTCCAGAATTTTCCATGATGGTCTAGCTTCAATTGACTCATGATCTCAACTATGAAAAGTATTTGTTAAAATGCAGTTAGATGACACTGTGTGAATTGTTTCCAGCTTGTTTGCTAAAGAGTTGATCATTTGGCACTAAACTAATTAATAACGCAAAGACAACTACATTTTACAAACTGTCTATAACCCGATATCTCAATTAATCAACTTAACCAAGTATGTGTTAAATATGGCGAGATAAGAATTCAAAGTGTTCAATGAACATATTTCCTGGATTCCATTGCTGGACACAATTCAAATTCACCAAAACTTATAGCTAAAAGATGATCCACACATATCAATCTACATGGATCACTTATCAGTTCTTAATTAACGTCAACAAACAAAAAACTTAAATCCCTATATTAACCCTACAATTTTAAAACCCCGAATAAATTCACATCACAGGAGTCATATCTGTTTAGTTTTACTCTGTGTTATTTGTAATATTCATATATACAAGTTCAGGACAGCTCACAGAATCGTTCAAAGTAAAGACCGATGTCACTCAAAGTTGTTTACTCTCACACTTTCTCTTTCTCCTGGTGATCGACTGGATCATGAAGACGTCAAAATCCAGGGGGAATCATGGGATACAGTGGACAGCTAGGATGCGACCGGATGATCTAGACTTTGCAGACGATCTGGCTATTCTATCGCGGAGAAGACGACCAGTGTAGCAGCAGCCTCAGTAGCAGTGGGTATCAACATACAAAAAGGGATAAGCGAGATTCTGCGATACAACACAGCACACACCAATCCAATCACACTTAACGGAGAAGATTTGGAAGATTTAAAAACATTTACATATCTGGTCAACATCATTGATGAACACGGTGGATCTGATGAAGATGTGAAGACGCGGATCGGAAAAGCAAGAGCAGCATATTTACAACTGAAGAACATCTGCAACTCAAAACAACTGTCTTCTTACCAACACCAAGGTCAGAATTTCCAATACAAATGTCAAGACAGTTCTATTGTATGGGGTGGAAACTTGGAGAACTACGAAATCCATCATCCAGAAGATACAAGTGCTTATTAACAGTTGTCCACACAAAACAATTCGGATCCATTGGCCAGACACTACCATCAGCAACCTACTATGGGAGAGAACAAACCAGATGCCAGAGGAGGAAGAAATCAAGAAGAATCGCTGGAAGTGGATAGGACACACATTGAGGAAAGCACCCAACTGTGTCACAAGGGAAGCCCTCACTTGGAGTCCTCAAGGTCAAAAGAGGAGATGAAGACCAAAGAACACATTACGGCGTGAAATGTAGATTGACATAAAAAGAATGAGCAACAATTGGATAGAACCAAATAGGAAGTTTCAGGATAGAGTGTGTTGGAGAATTCTAGTCGTCTGCTGATACTCCATTGAGAGTAACATGCATAAGTAAGTAAGTAAGTCAGTAAGTAATATACAAGTTCATTTTATGTCGATCAAATGAATTCATTTTGATCTTTCTATTTAAATTTTACAGTACACATTTAATAGAAGCTGTTAAAATTGGTTTAGTTCAATCGATTGCTTTATCTGGTCCCGTTCTTAGTTTAACTGCATGTTTTGCATTAGGAAATTATTTAATACAACAGAATGCTATTTCAATGATATCATTGTTCAAGTTAGTTTGGACTTTTATTTTCAATATGAGTGTATATGTGTTGTCTTTAAAACATGTTACATAATATAATGCATGTGTATCATTAGTTCAATTCATTTATAATTCTAAATAGATTGTAGTCATTGTTGGATTGTGGCTGGTAGTGGAACCTAGGATAGGTGCTTCTTCTTATCTGTTATTAATCAACTGCACCTTGGTCTTGATGTTCACACTGACATTCCAATTCAGCACTTCTGCTCTGAACATTAACTCGTTTTTCATTAAATTACTGAGTTCAGATACCTAAATCTTGTTCAAACTGTATGAAAGTATTACTAAGGAATAGATCCAGCTGATAAGTCCTAGACGGGATAAAACTCGCTTCGATGTTAATCACAATGCAAATTTATTAAAACTTGTGACTAAATGGCAATATCAAGACAATCCACTTAGGACAGACATATTTCAATACAAACTGATCACTTCTAGTAATTAACATCAATAGCAAGGAGGTAAACTTTGGAGCTGAAACTGTTTTTAATCTTTTTATTTAACAGCAAATCGATTTATATCTTTTCACTCCAAAATTCCATATCCTCAGTTCTAACAGTCTAATGGTAATCTTATTAACCAGAAAGATAAATAGCAAAGATAGTAAATCGTTTTGTGGTAAAGACTGCACATAGTACTTGATGTTGACCAAAATATGTATGAAATTTCAGTTGAATAATTTTAGATTGCGATCATTAACCGATTGATGTTAGCTCATCATTAGAAACTTGAAAACAGTAGACGGTCAACTCGTCCTATTGTGGGATTCCTCTGCAGTGCGCATCCACGATCCCACTTGCGAGCTTCTAACCTGGAGCCTAAAGTTTTGCACGCGAAAGCTTAACCTCTAGACTACCGAGACGGTCGGCATCCAACGGCGTTAATGTCTAACCTCAACAAATTCACGAAATTGAGCAACTATCTTCCATTATACTGAAGTCAGTCAGTCAGTCAATGGTCTTGAGTGTTGTTAGAGGTATGAGGGCGGTTATCACTTCCCGGTTGCCCACACCGTTGAAGGGTTCTTCTGGAGGTGCCTGAAAAGGGAATTGGATTAGACGTGGTCTTAGTGACCTGAGAGCGAGACCGCAGTGCCCATGGGACAACTGCTTGAGGTCGGTCACACACGACCTTTTTATGGGTAAGTTTTGTGTGAGCTCCGTAATTGTTGAAACCTTACCTCCGGAGACGGATATCCGTGGGATAAGGCAAGGTGCACATTTTTAGGGTCGACTTTTCCTAACCCCACCCCTCCTTGTGGGAAGACAGCATCACTGTCATGCTGGTTGTCTGAAGGAAACACCTTACTGCTGTCACACCTCTATACAGTCAGCAGTACGACTTCGCCTTCGTACCTTAAGTTTGTTACCTTTAGTCTTACCGCTCTTCAACCGACCTTTCTGACGTGGTAGGACCTTGAAGAACGGTTGTTCCAGCCAGTATAGCTTGGTTGCTTCATCACGATAGGCAAGCCTGACCACCACGTCAGGGTAGCAACAACGGTCGGGTTGTACTGAAGTAGATACCTATCTCTACCCAAAACGAATCATCTCCACTGGTCACAGTTTCCAAACTCCGAAAATTCCCTCACGAAGCTAGTCATCAGTGAGCACATGATTATCTGAATAAAAATTTTTTATCGATTAGATGGTAGTTGGAGGTAGTCGACAAGAAACCCTGCACCCGGGTTTCGTGCTACTTGGCACTCATCAGCAATTTGTACCTGTAATCTTGAGAGAACTGGTGCTCCCTGATGGATTCGATCCCGTGTCACCCAGCTTCAGAGTCAGAGACGTTGCCACTGAGCTATCCGGGCCGCGACCGACCTCCTGTAGGGAGCACTAGTCCCCTCAATATTACAGGTACACCTTGCTGACGAGTGCCAATTAGCATGAAACCCGGGTCCAGGGTTTCCTGTCGACTACTTCTAACCACCATCTAGTCTCAACATGGTGCACGCAGTGTCGAGTCATCTAGACTGGTGGCCACATTGCAACTTGGTCGATCTGCACTAAGAAAGACTTGACACACATGACATTGATCACCACTCAGTGATAAATCAATTGTAATTACATTTTATTGATTTACGTCACGACATTCTATCTTCCTGCTCGTACTTTTAGGCTACCATTATCAAAAATGTCTAAATATTTCAAAAAAAATTTCCTGTTTTACTCTTGTTATAATCAATCAATCATGCTTATTGAACTGATGTAATCTTATGTCTTTGTAAAGCTTTTCAATATGTCTTGAAGTTAATTACTTTAAAATCTGAACGTAATCATTAAAGTGATTAAATTTACCGTTCATTTTCATTTTTACTTTAAGAAATGCAAAGCAATCATACTGAAATTTATGCAAATATTCATCACTTCAAATTGTTATCATTCATATCAACACAAACATAAACACACACAGAGAATGGGGAAATTCAACTCGAGAGAGAGAGAGCGGGAGAGACAAAAGGCTGAAAACAATAATACCGATGTCGGTGCCAAACTAGAATGATCATGATCATTCTGATAACCGAACGAAATCAACAATCCTTCTGTTTATAGATTCGCATTATTTTTCATTAGTTAAGGTTGGAGTATGAATGAACCATCCCTGAGATGTGACCGATTTACAGTCATATCACATAAGTTCTCTTACTTACAGGTTAAGATCACCTCTCGGATCCAAACCATGAAGTCTATATTAGTGGCAGGACCAATACAAATAATTAATGAATCTTTATTTGAATCCGTGCCTTAGTTTAGTACCCTCAATAGATCCTACTTACATTGAACACTATGTCTTTATCCAATAGTAATTGAAGGTAAATAAAAGAATTGTCCATGAAACATTACTAGTCCTGAACAATATTACATTCATACATTCACAATCAAATGTATGTAACGTATCGTCCTTTTCCAGTTGCCTGCATTGAGAAAGGACATTTCTTCTAATGGTACCTGAAAAGGAAATTAGGTTCTTATTACTCTTGTTGGCTGCAAATGTGACCAAAAAGCCCAAGAGACAATTACTTTAAGACGACCTTTTTGTGAACAGTTTTTGTTATTATCAGAAGGGGTTCTGTGGAGATTGTAGTAATTTCAACACTTGAGATAATGAGTGAATTTAAGCTAGATCACCATGGAAAACCTGGAAGCACTGGACGGCCGTTAGTTTTTTTGTGGGACTCCTCAGCAGTGCACATCCACGACCTCGCCTTGCGGGATTCGGACCCAGGACCTATCAGTCTCGAGCCAGGACGAAACGGCCATCCAGTGCTTCCAGGTTTTCCATGGTGGTCTAACTCCAAATGACTCATGATCTCAACTGTTGAAGTTTTTGTTATGTTAACTACTTTCCAAGCCTTACTTCCGGCACCGGAAATACATGAAGTAAAATTAGGTGTCGTACTTTTAGATTTCACACTTCAATTCTTCCTTCCGTTGTGGGGAGGCTGCATGGCTGATGTAAAACTAAATGAGCAAAATCATGCATTAATTATTTACTTGTGTCATGCCGTTAGAGTTTAGACTTCTCGAATAGAGTCCACTCAGTAATTATAATATGTGGTTGAAGATGATCAGTAACATCGAACATAATCTGTAAGAGTGATGCGGTTGTATTGATTCACTATCCTTTTTAAGTCTTCAGCTACTCGTCACTTCTTAATTCTTACGTCTAAAATCATGAAATTCAATAATTTCCACAATCCCATACTGACAACTTCCTGTTTTGTATAAAATATCTTTTACGAATAATTTAACCTTACTGATCAAAACTCATCACTCTTAAGGATATAATTTTTCTTACTCTGTATTTATGACCTCTTCTAACACCAATAATGTTACCAAAGGACGGGTTTACTGCGCAGCAGTTCGTTCCGTCCTACTTCATGGCAGTGAAACATCGCCGGTAAGAGTAGAGGATATTGGTAAGTTACTAGTATTCGATCAAAGGTGCCTTCGAATCATTGCTGGTATATCCTGAGACCACCGAAGTATGTAATGCAGTTGTTAGGAAACGGGTACTATGTAAGGATGGCAAACTAATTGATGAAGTAGTGAAACTTCATCAGTTGAGATGGCTGGGACATGTGTTACGTATGCCGAACCACCTAATGCCCAGACGAGCGATGTTTTATGATGTAGGAGTAGGTTGGAGGAAAGCTATGTGCGACTAGACCAAAACATGGTACAAATCCATGAAGTCATTGACAAGTGGACTGAACCATCTTGGTAGGTGTAGACTATCTGGTTCTGATTAGCGAGACGATAGCAACCGATGGTTAGAGACCCTGAATGGCATGGCTCAAAATCGTTTGCAATGGTTCAGGTCCATCCACTCTTTGTGTTCTCTCAAATTCTAATCTTATGATTTCTTGATGTCCTTTTATTTTTCTCTTTCCAAATTTATTTCACTATATTATGCTCCTTGAATAACATCTCGAAACCCTAGTGTTTCCAACTACTGCTTATACTTTTACTACCTCTACCAATATGGGATTTGAAATCGACCACTGCATCTCTATGCTAATGTGGTATGACAACCTGAACTTATGTACGTACGTAGGTACGAAGTTCTACGTTGTTATTGACTAAGTACTATGTAGTGTTTAAAACTCAACTGAAGTGGTTATATTCGCAATGTAAAGTTAGTGTATATATCAGTGAATGAACATTTTGTTGTTTGCATATTGATCCATAATAATGTACTATCCTCTGTAGCCTGATTCAGTTACAATATTTACCTCGTACGGTATATCGAAACACACTAAGCTAATGAGGAAATTATGTGAGTTAGAAGTTTTAATGATCAAGGTGAATTATGATGTACATAAATCATGAGTGTTGATGCGTTTGTCCTCTATGACCAAGATAACGATATATGGGTTGAGAACTTAACTTGGGAATTACCTACTTTCTGTAATAACATATCACTAATGTAACTCCTTGCTCACTGTTTGACTCTGAGGCGACAGTTAAACTACCTGATTTTCGTGACATGTGATATGTCTAGTCAGGTTCAAGCTCCCAGTATCATAATTGATGTTACCAACGGATATTTATGTTCTGACTATTTGACTACTAGTTTTTCGCCATTCAAATTAGAATTATGATGACTTGGTTGAAAAGCTAATGAGATCAATAGCGATGGCATGGAATCGATGTTTAGAGTTTAACTAAGATTTTTTTAAGTAATCAATTCTCCTAGATTGCTCAATAAAACTCCAAGTACCGTAGCCAAGGAATCGCTGGTTGATACATTATTAGGTGTATTTTCAATTTTGGTATATTTTATTTAATCTTCATTAAAATCTTGGGCTTTAAAGTGACTTTATACATATTATTCAGCGGATTCGTTATACCTTCCTGGATCATATTCTTTATATCTAATATGTTTTACTTTCATCCAAATAACTACTATTACTTCTATTGATCCTATATTCATCATGATGATTTCATCGTGTATTATTGATCTGGCTTCTTGTCTTGGATCCATATACATTTTATTTAGACTCTTATGTCAATTTTCACCGACTGTTGTCATTAAAGGGGACATATTCCTATAATAAAAATAATAATAATAATGCATTTTGATAGCTGACATCACTGATTGAAAACCGGACAGCTGTTTTATCTTAACATGGAAATCTTTATGAGGGAACATTCACGAACCGACAGGGGGATCTATCTCTGGATCTTCAGTTTCGAAGCCTTATCACCAGTATCTGCAAACCATGGGGCAAGGCGATGTGTAATATCAGGAGTTCTAGTGAAAAATCATGATCATTAAAGTTCTGTTGCCTTAAACGTGAGACAGTTATTCACCACAAACAATTGAAGATGGTTGTGCAATATCGCAAATTATTTGAGGTTAGATATGCAAAGAACTCGATGCCAACTCACTAGTCTAAAGGTCAAGCACTTACTTTGAAACCAAAAGTCCTGAGTTTAATCGCTAACAGGTTAATGAGTACGGACTATCAGGGAGTACCATATTAAAACGAAATACCTGTGTAGGGTTTCCAAGTTTTCATTCAGTCCATGATGTAAGCTGTGGACATATAATAATCCCCATTAGAGATAAAATATTTCTGCATATATTTTTATAATTAGCATTTTTTTCTAAAATACAGTAGTATAGTGATTTTTACCTTTTTTGTTTTTGATGGAGTATTGTTCTCTGAGTTGGATGGTTTGGTTGTGGGACTTTTATCGTTCTTCTGAACGACATCATCAGCACAAACTTCAGGCAGATGTGAAGTGTTCGACATCATTCAGAAGAACGATGAAAGCTTCATAACCGAACCATCCAACTCAGAGAACAAAACTCCATCAAATTCATCCACCTGAACTACAAATCTTCTCCATCACTTTTATTGTTGTCTATCAGCTCAGATCCTAAAATTTATATCCCAAATCCTAGTCCAAACGTCATGAACTATTTATCACCAATCCTTAACATCACCTGGTTGAGATCATTATAATAATGGATATACCCTTTCTTTGATTATTTATTTTTAGAGTTTTTATCACATTTAGTATGTGTTCACAAGCTCTTGGTCGAATCACTGCATTTACTACAAAAACAAAAGAAGCTGAAGAAGCTATGAGACGTATATTCACTGTTATCGATCGTAAACCAACCATAGATACTAATCAAGGTGATCAACCAAAAGAAACATTCAGTGGTCATATTGAATTTAAACATGTAAATTTTAGATATCCAACAAGACCTGAAACAAAAGTGCTTAAAGTAAGTGATTCAAAAAAGTATTTAGTTCAACTGTTAATTCATTGTCTTTAAAGTATTTCATAAATAATCTGTACTAAAAATACTTTTTTGTATATCTTCTTATATTACTGATGCATTTACTTACTTAATTATGCCTGTTACCCTCCATGGAGGAGCATTAGCCGCCCACCAACACTCTCAATCCACCTCTGTCCTGAGCAATCCTCTCCAGCTCTTTCCAGTTGTTATTCATCCTTTTCATAACTGATTATATTTCCTGACATAATGTGTTCTTTGGCCTTCCTCTTTTCTGCTTCCCATCAGGATTCCAAGTTAGGGCTTGTCTCGTGATGCAGTTTGGTGATTTCCTCATTGTGTGTCCTATCCACTCACAACGTCTTTTCCTTATTTCCTCATCATTTGGAAGCTGGTTTGTTCTGTCTCATAGTAGGTTGTTACTGATGATATCCGGTCAATAGACACTGAGTAACTTGTGTAGACAATTGTTTATAAATACTTGCTTTGCTAATCTTCGCCTTTACGTCTGCATCTGATCCTTCTTATTCATCGATGATGCTTCCGCTGATGCATTTACTTTTATGTAAAACAACACATAATGCGGTAACTTTTTGTGTTATTGATTACTATCTGAAGTCATCGTCTAACAGTTCCCTTTATAAAATTATGTGATACCTATTTCTTTGTCATTGGGAAATGGTAATTTTAAATCATATACTCTCACTTATGTGGGTTATTCAAATTATTAAAGTGATAATATTTGTAATTTCTACGTTCTCTAAGCTTAGACACTCTATTTGTTACGTAGTCAGAGATAATTGGCAGTATTTATTAGCACAGAGTATCTCTGCAATCTCGAGAAGACTGATGCTCTCTATTGGACTCGAACCTGTGCTACATAGCTTCATAGTCTTAGATACTAGCATTAAGTTATTTGAGCCTCAATTGACCTAATGTAGGATGGAGATATTTATATTAATCGGTCACTGAGTAGCGACTGATGTTACGTCATAATGAAATTAGATGGATAAATATGCCATCAGTCACTACTAAATGATGAACCAACTATTAATAATGATGACTCTGTCTAAAAAGACAATAACAGCTTCACAGTTAAGCCATTCTCTAGGTTCTTCAACATCACTTTTATAATTATCTTCTTGAAATTCACCTCTCTCAACTATGATTCCCCAAAAGTAACCGTTCATTTGATGTTCTTCTTACAATTATATTTTCACTTATTTGAGACAATAAAGATCGGTGTTTTCAATAAATAGTCATCAAAATATCTCAAAACTGATCTCGAAAACAATAGATATTACTAGTTATCAACCGGCATAGTAATTTGTCAATTATGACAGTTATGTGTACGAGACGTGATTGAACATCGAAAAGAAAACTAGCAGGAATACGATAAATAACTTTAAATGACTTATTTCTGTTTACTACATGACCGCTTTCAATCTAGTGTGGTAGAACCGAGCTGCGTATTGTCTTGACATATCTTTTCTTAACCATGAAGGAAGGTGTTCACTAACTCTTTGGTTCAGTTGTCTGGTAGTGCGTCCATATAGCTTTCTCCACAGGAGTAGCTGCATTCGTAGATACGCATAGAATTGGCATAACCAGGTAACTTATCATTTAGTTGAGGAATCATCATAGATTGGATTGAGTACGATTGACAGAGGTTGGCTGCATTAAACGTTCTCTTTAGTGTTCTAGTCAGTCTATCACGTAGTATATCACCAGCTGCATCTCCATTGAATTGCAGCTTCAAGAAGAGAGGTTTCTTACTAGCTGTTGACGTCGCTATTTTCTTGTTTCTTATATGCAAGTATTTCTCTAGGAAACCTTGTGGATAACCCATTTCAATCAACATATTATGTATGAGTTCTAATTCCTTATTAATTATATCGACTGAGCATATCTTAATAGCTCTATTCGCCAGACATTTGGCTAAGTTTCTCTTATAATGAAGGTGTACAATGCTTAAGAAATGTGTGTATTGGCTTGATGAAGAGCTTTTTCTATAAGCACTTCTACTGATAGAACCATTTTGTTTTCTGTTTAACAAAACTTCAAGGAAATGTAGTTTATTATCTAGTTCCTCTTCACATGTAAATTTAATTACTGGATGTTTGTTGTTAAATAGTTCTAACAGTTCTTCTTTTATCTGATGTTCTGGTCGGCAAGAATGAAAGTGTCATTAACGTGACGACAGTAGAAGTCAAGCTTATTGATAACCTCTTTGAGAGTTCTAGTTTCTAGTTTCACAAGCATAGGACCTAGAGGTGAACCCATCGCTATACTATCAATTTGTCAATAATATTTGTCATTAAAGACAAAATGGACATTCGTTGTACATTTCAAAAGTAATTTTTTGAGAGCAACTTCGGGAATTCCAATATTGATTGTGAACTGGGAAGGAACATCTAGAGATATCATCCGTTTCCTTTTATGTTCAAATGTCCCACTTTGGAAATGAAATCCAAGATGTCTTTCATGTTTCTGTTGATGACTAGTTTGTGTAAGGGATCTAGGATTCGAACTAGCCACTTTGCAATTTTATGATCAAATGTATCATACATATCTAAAACTGGACGAAGACGTGTCTTGTGAACTTTGAGTAAAACATATAGTCGCAGTGTGTTCGATCCAATGGGTTTAAGTGAGTCGTGTATGTTTGGAGTAAGTATTCCTCTTCTTTTTTTTTAATTCCAAATTCCTTTACATTGATCATTATTATTCTATTAACTAAACATTTCATTTCTATTTTATAAATCCATCATAGAATTTTACATATTCTATTCAACCGGGAAGTAAAATTGCATTAGTTGGTCAATCTGTTGTGGTAAATCAACACTTATACAATTATTACAACGGTTCTATGATCCAACAGATTATGGTTTAGAGAATGGTATATTTTTTGATGGAATTAATCTACGTCAATTAGCTCCATGTTGGATAAGACGACAAATTGGTATTGTATCACAAGAGCCAATATTATTTAATATTAGTTTACGTGATAATATTGCATATGGTGATAATAGTCGTATTGTATCAATGGATGAAATTATAGAAGCGGCAAAATTAGCTAATATACATGATTTTATATTATCATTACCTAATGTAAGTTTTGTTACAAGTTTAAATATAGATTGAATAGTGATTACAAACTTACGCCTGTTACTCCTCGTCGAGGAGCATAGGCCAACCACCAGCACTAAACATCCAACTCTGTCCGGGGTAATCCTTTCCAACTCTTTCTAGTTGTTATTCATCCTTTTCATATCTGCTTCTATTTCCTGATGTAATGTTTTCTTTGACCTTCTTTTCAGGATTCCAAGTTAGGGCTCGTTTCGATAGATGTACTATAGTGCAGGAGAATACAGATGATGACAACCGATTATATCTGTACAAAATTACAGAGTTACTTGAGAAGATAGAAAAAACCATACTCCGAAATTCATTTGATGTTGTTTACTTGAATTTAACCATTGATGTTTACGACTGCAATTGATCAGTCTCCTGTTGATATATGTGCATACTGTGCAGACTGCCTCGATGTTGCCTTAGGTCACAAGCATTACAAGCAAAGATGGATAGTGGCTAGTGGTGGAGTCCAGTTTGACGAGCGTTTTGTCCTATTTGGGACCCGTGAGCTAGATATCCCTGCATCTCAGTTGATGTTCAATCTGGGACTCGAACCCATCACCCTATTGCACAAGCAAGTAGTTACCGAGACTCAGTAGCTAAGTGGATAACGCGATGGTGTTTGAAGTGAACGGTACTGGGTTCGAGCCCCAAAGTCAACATGATACTCCAAAGTCATCATTAATTGTCTCGGATTTGATTGTTTCTCCTTTTCTATACTAATTGATTTCTGTTCCCGTTCTTCCCTCTTCGATCTTCACAATCTTCTACTGCCAGACATTCTATTCTTGACTAGCGTTACATACTAATTATGTCGATATAAGCAGTATACCACGTATTACCTGTCCAATAAATATTGCAACTGAGGTTTCTCGGGCTCTTCGATCTCTTTATTCATTATCTGGATGACTGTTGATAGACTTAAATTAGTAAATACATATATGTACACGATTGTATCAAATATTTCGGAGTTTAGGAGGCAGACTATGTGATTGAGTTCTGAGCGATTGTCGTCAAAAATGGTTCGAAACGTCCTATTTGATTATCACTAATTAGCTGACGAGTCAAACGGTTTATGTGTTAATGTTACAATTATTTGATTCAACTGCATGAATTCTTCAAAAGTGATATCTGAAACAACTCAAAAGTACTTAGCTTGAAAAAACTACGTCATTCGCAAATATAAATATACCCTAGAAGAGGGTAATTTTAAATTCGTTTCCACGAGAACCAAACACCATCTAGGCTTGAATATGGCTTGAATACCATTCAATTTGTATGGGAGCTGGGATACTGACCGGCTGTCTAAACCAAAGCAGGTGGTTTTTTTAGAGGACCACACCCGGAGCCTTCGACCTAAAAGTCTAATCCACAACGTTAGGTGATGAAGTCCAATGGTAGCCGGTGATCAACAATAGGTTCATACGCGATTTGTTCCTTCAGGAACCTCGATCCCATGTACACCATTAGTTTGGAATCAGGGTTTTCCAATTTTCCTAGGTGAACTCTTCGTGTCCATCAACCTGGTTAAAACACCAGATATTCGCGTTCCGTCCTCTCAACTTCGTAAACAATACCCGTGTGACGCGGTGGCAGTGAATAAGACTTCCCTGACAGTGTAGTATATGCGTGACCATGTAAGAGTATCTGGAGAGGGAGACCTAACTCTCCTCACTCTTAGCCGTACTAGGGTATTTGAAGGCTTAATTACTGTTTCTATCAAGTTCGACCACTGTTATTATTTTTTTTTTATTGAAATCATGAATCAATTGAAGCTAGATCACTATGGAAAACCTGGAAGCACTGGACGGCCAACTCGTCTTAGTATGGGATCCCCTAGCAGTACACATCCACAGTCCCGCACCCCGCAAGATTCGAACGGAGGACCTATCAACCTCGCGCCAGGCTCTTAACTAACTAGACCACTGAGCAGACATCCAATGGTGTTAATGTCTAACCTCAACTGTTATTATTGTCAATCCTCTATTATTATTATTATTATTATTATTATCATTATTTAATAGGCATATGAAACATTAGCTGGACAAGATGGTTCACAATTATCCGGTGGTCAAAAACAACGTATTGCTATAGCACGTGCATTAATTAGAAAACCATCATTATTATTATTTGATGAAGCAACATCAGCATTAGATAATGAAAATCAACGTTTAATACAAAAATCATTAAATGATGCCATGGTAACATGTACCTCGATTATTATTGCACATCGTTTAAATACAATTCAAAATGTTGATTTAATTATTGTATTATCAAATGGTCATATTATTGAATATGGTCAAATGAATGAATTACTTACTAAAAAAGGTGAATTTTTTAATTTATATCAATTAGATAATACAAAATATGAATAAATAAATTTTTTTAATGATTTTTTTGGGAAAAAAAAGAAAAAAAAGAAAAAAGAAAACAACAACAAAAATACAAAAAAAAGATAAATTAGAGTATTTTTCTCATTTTTCTTTCCATTTTTTTTTCTTCTCTAGAAAAAAGTTAATAAACAAGCAACCATTTGAAATAACTTTTTGTTTGGTTCATGAGAGAAGTAACTCATTTAATGAATTTTTATTCTTCATAATTTCACATTCACAATCATAATTACCGGTTCACTTTTATTGATTTTTTTCTTTTTCTTTTTCCTATTCTTGACATGATACTCATTTATGTTTGTTTTCCTTTTTCCCCTCTTTCTTTCTGCTACTCATACAATAGTTATCATTCCATTTACAAATGTTCTGTGATTATTCATTCATAAATATATCTATGAATAAGATGTGAAAAATAAAGTATTTTATTAGTAGAGATAGATAGTGGTTAACAATGGAATACAAGATGATTGTTTCGTTCTATTCAAGACTCGTCAGCTGAATGTATCTGCATCTCAGAGTTGATGTTCACTTTGAAAATTGAATTCAGTATTGTCCGCTTCAAACGTCATCGCGTTATCCATTTAGCTACTTGAGACCTGAGAGCAACTTGCTTGTACAATGGGATGAAGTTTAAATTCACTTTGTATTGTTTACTTGAATCTGACCATTGATGTTCACGACTGCAATTGATCAGTCTTTTGTTGGTATATGTGCATACTGGGAGTATTGCATCGATATTACATTAATTCACAGACATTATAAGCAAAGATGGATAATGGCTAGAAGTGGAATCCAGGATGCGCGTTTCGTTCTATTTGGGACTCGTCAGCTGGATGTATCTGCACCCCAGAGTTGATGTTCACTCTGAGACTCCAACCCAGTACCGTTCGCTTAAAACTCCATCACATTATCCACCTAGTTACTGAGTCGTGACATATTATTTTACTTATTATTATCATTTGTTTAATTATCAATAAGGATTTGGATTATCGTGTTGCTGATGTATAAAACTGAATTTTGACCAATCTTCATTGGTCAAAGATATATATATCTTTCATACAAATTTTTTAAAATGTATGTATCGTGGATAACAGTTAGATCCCAGATGATCGTTTAGTTCTACGTGATGCTTCACAGATGAATGTACCTGAATTCCAGTGTTGATGCTTATATTGAAACTCGAACCTAATATGTACCGCTACCTATGCTAATGCACTATACACTTATCTACTGAGCATAGTAATCAATAGATTAAAATAACTATATACGCGTTCAAGCATCGTAAATAACAGTATTCGGTAAATGAATCATTAATTAAGCAACAAGAATAGTGATAACGATATTTATCATTTTGACTGCTTTGGAGCTAGTTAATTTTGATTCCGGAAATAATCTTGTTACTTAAATACAATTTAAGTAGGTAAACGATAAATACGAATTAACACAACCCCTAGTTCATACAGCATCGAATGTTTCATTAATTTCTCGTCATGGTAGATTTTGTCCTTGAATGTTTAGATACCGGCTTTCTAGCCTGTCATTAGTCTCTCTCTCTCTTTATATGTATATATATACAAAATGGTTTCTGTTATTCTTTAAAAAATTCTTCGACACTGTAGATTACCTGAGAAAATCGTCAACATCATCCGGACTTTATACGACGAACTACAGTGCAAACTGGTGCATGGAAGACAGCTGACAGATGCATTCCAAGTAAGGATCGGAGTCAAATAAGGCTGTCTACTAACCCCTTTCCTCTTTCTTCTGGTGGTTGGCTGGATTATGAAGACCTCGACATCTGAGGGGGGAACACGAAATACAATGGACAGGTTGGATGCAACTAGATAAATTTGACTTCTCAGATTACCTATCCCTTATATGCCACACACATCAACAAATGCAGGTCTAGGCAACCACTTTAGCAGAAGCTTGTTCATCAGTAGGCCTCAACATACAGAAAGGAAAAAGCAAGATCCTGAAATATAACACAGAGAACACTAAGCCAATCAAACTTGATGGAGAAACTGTGGAAGAGGTGGAAACTATCACGTACCTGAACAACTGCATCACCGACGAACATGGAGGATTTGATACAGATGTAACGGCGTGAGTTGGTAAAGCAAGGACAGCATTCCAACAGTCGAAGAACATATGGAACTCAAAACACCTGTCCACAAGCCAACATCAAACTCAGAATCTCCAATACGAACGTCGAGACAATTCTACTGTACCGAGCTGAAACTTGGAGAACCACTACAACCATCATCAAAGAAGTGCAAGTATTTATGGACGATTATCTATGTAAGATACTCAATGTCTGTTGACCGGATACCATCAGCAACAACCTACTACGGGACAGAACAAACCAACTTCCAACTGATGAGGAAATTAGGAAAAAACGTTGTAAGTGGATAGGACACACAGTAAGGAAATCATCATACTGCATCATGAGACAAGCGCCAACTTAGAATCCTAAATGGAGACGAAAAAGAAAAAGGTCAAAGAACACACTGCTTTGAGAATCTAAAGTAGACATGAAAATAATGAATAGCATCTGGAAAGAATAATCCAGGATACAGTTGGAAGGAGAATTCTGGTGCTTGGCGTATACTCCTCCATGATGGATAATGATTATCATTGTTGAAGTATCATTGTATCTATTAGTTATTGATTTATCAAGTTCAATTTTATACTAAAAATACCTTCTATTCTCTATATTATCCAAATTTTTCCCATTGTGAAAACCGTTTGTTTATTCTTAAACTATTTAAACATTTGATTTCTCTTTTGAATTGAAATGATGATGAACCAATACGAAAGATTTCATAGTATGATATTTAACTTTGATAGAATGGATAGTTTCATATATATTTCTCGCTCGCTCTCTCTCCATCTCATTCGCTTGAGTCTACTATGAAACTACGTCACGTTATATCAGATCCAGGATTCAAGACCAAGAATAAAGAACCAGTGTATAGACCAAATAATACTTTATAAACAATCACATTCAGTGAGTCCGGAATAGAAATTAATGCGAGGAAAGGAAATCATATATTTAATAGTTAGTAGTCTAAGTGCCTGTTTGTCCAAGCTCAGTGAACGATTATATTTTATGTTCATTACCATGTATTAGACTAATCCTCAAATCCTCTAGCATATGAACTATCAGGATATTCTGTATTATTCAAATCTACTAGCTTTTTGCATAGAATGCTCTCCACAAATATGTTTATTGATACATAATGATGAACTGACCAGATAAATGTATAGAACATGGAATCTTATACAATGCCAATGACTTTTCATAACTCTTGAAAAACTGTAGGGATTAGTTCATCATCATTAAGTGGTTCTTGTTTTCTTCCATTTGATTGATTGGTTAACAAAAAGCAAGTACATTTATTGAACTACTCCTGCAATGTCTATAAATTCCATTAATTTGAGATAAATGACATGCAAGTTATAGTCTTTTTTTACAAGATTAATTCTCATCCAGAGTTGATAATGGCCCATGACAGAGTGGGTTGGAGAATGTTGGTCTGCGGCTTATGCTCCATTAGCAGTAACAGGCGTCATTAAGTAAGTAAGAGTTGATAATAAAATGATGACCATTAGAAACCAAAAACCTTTGGATACCTATTTTGTCGTAGTTTCAAACTCCTCAAAAGTGGATACCCATTCATAACCTTTTAGTTTCTAATTTGAAATTCACTTGTAAACAATTTCAACTCCAAGGAGTTTGTAGGTGTCATTACCAAGGTTTGATTTGATAATTTCGAATAAATTGAGCATTGGGTTGATTGTTATAAATAAAAATAATTTAACCCAAAAAATTGGTTTTTTTTGGTTAATTTTAAAAAAACCAAATTAAAATTAACCAATTTAAAAAGGAAAATTTTCCTTTTTAAATTGGTTAATTTTAATTTGGTTTTTTTAAAATTAACCAAAAAAAACCAATTTTTTGGGTTAAATTTTTTTAATTTCAACTCCAGTTAGCTTACCGTATACTGCGACTAATATTAATGTTGTATATGTTTCTTTCAAGACGTCGTTGAACTCAGTCGTTAACAGCTTCCCTTTAGAACTTTGGGAATCTTTCTCAAACCCAGTCATAGTGATTGTAATAGTATATTCTCCTGAATTCATCGGGGTTAGATATGTAAACAACGGAATGGCAACCAGTGGTACAAATGTTAAGCACTTAATGTAACCTTAAAATCCTGTTTTTGATCCCTGATGGAGTTGTAGATGCTCACTGTTGTGAAGTCTCAAATTAAAACGAAGTGGCTGTCTAGTGCTTCCTAGTTTTCAATGATTTTCTGACCAATATCATTGCATGATAAAAACTAAAAGATCTATTCTAGAGTTGACTTGTATTTCCCTTCACGACCATTGATAATAAAGGATTACAATGGAGTGTCGGTTATTGTGTTAAGCCCATATACCTTATTCTAGCATTCGACAGTCCATTCTATTCATTCTACTTCAGTCACATTCTGACCTTGTTATTTATTCGCTTATCAATCTTGACTGTTTTTATATGAGCGCGTAGGTGTGTGCACACTTCCTATCCCATTACTCATCACATGTCTGTAACTTACTTTTGTGTAACCATAAATACTGATTAACGTTTGGTTAAATGGGAGTTGGCTAACCAGCCATCTCCGCTGCGCGTCATTTCTCTTCTCTCTACTCCATTCGCTTTATATACAAAATATGTGTATTCACAAGTCCATTCTCGTTATTCGACTTATCTAATTCTGTTACTGACTAACGCGATTTAAGTCGATGATTATAAACGAGGACAGGAGATAACAAACATCCATTACGATCTTCTTTGAGTCAGATCTCGGGCCACTAAAGTGGAGAGCCCGTCAACAAACATCGTCCGATCTAAATGAAGACGAAGTAAAGGGCCCCACTAAAACAATATACCAGAAGATCTCTATTTATATACTAATCAGCTGACTTTTTGGGATAAGAAGTGAAGATCTATAATCTCTAGTTAATTCACTATCATTGATAACATTCGGACACATTGTTATAATTATTTTCAGGGCATATTATTCATCATATGGGTTTTATCAATTCAATATGTTACTTTTACAGATATGGCTTACATTCAACCCCTCATACACACAAATTCATCTTCCATACACATTGTCGTATATATAGCAGTTAGCTGTAGCAGAATATCTGTTATATCGCGACGAGAATTATAAATGGTAACTATTGAGAACTATTTATGAACCGATACGATACTTATATTTTTTTATATAATTATTAAGTAGCTAAGCTGTGTATATTCATGTTCCTCTTATTAACAGCTTTAGTTTGACCCATAGACTATCTTTATACGATTTACCGTTCTTGAGTTGTGCCCAGTCAATTAATTACAGTCTCCTACATTCACAACCGCTTCTCCCTAGACGTTGTACAGATGTTATTTTCCATTTTATGGTACGATGTGATCTGTCTGGTTCGTATATAAACCCAGTATGTTTGACATACATTATTTATATCTCAGAA